TTTAACATGGATCAAAACTAAAGGTCCTTGGAAAACATTTAATATACAGCGGATAGTCAGTGGAATTTTGTTCCAGGGGAGCTAAATATAGCAGATATCACTTCTAGGGGCTGTTCTAGTAAAATGTTACTGGAAAATAGATGGTGGGAAGGTCCAAATTAGCTAAAACAGGATTTGGAAACATGGCCTCACTGGGAAATTACTTCGTCTGTAGATGCTGACTCTGAGAGGAAAAACGAGATCGTGTGCAATATTGTTCATGACCAAGATTTATTTACTAAGCATTTTCATTATTTTTCTAAGTTTTCTCGGATAGTAAGAATGATAGCATGGATAATGAGATTTTATAATCATTCTTCGGGAAAAATTCTAAAAAAGCCGAAATGTGTATATACTGATTTTAAAGAAATTGAAGAATTAACTTATGAAGAAATATTTAAAGCAGAATTAAGACTAATTAAAATAATTCAAAAGGAAGGATTGGTTGAAAATAGAAAAATAGATCATTTAGAGTTTTTAACAGATGAAAATAATATTTTGAGATTAAAAACGAGACTAACATACTGCAATGAGCCATACAATTTTAAATTTCCTATATTGTTACCATCTAAACATGAAATTGTGAGAAAATGTATATTAGAACAGCATAAAATCCACAATCACGCTGGCGTCCAGACATTATTATGTATTATTAAAGAAAATTATTGGATATTAAGAGGAAGACGAACCATAAAAGAAGTTAGCTCAAAATGCATAACGTGTAAACGCTTTAATAGCAAATCCATATCAACTCCTTTAGCACCTTTGCCAAAAGATAGGATAAATAATGCAGCTATTTTCGAGATATCAGGAGTAGATTTAGCTGGCCCATTATATTTAAAAGATGGTTCAAAAGTATGGGTGGTTTTATTTACATGCGCAGTATTTAGAGCAATTCACTTGGAGTTGGTAACAGCTATATCCACAGATAATTTTCTATTGTCACTTAGAAGATTCATTGCCAGAAGGGGACGAATTTCAGTTTTGTACTCAGATAATGGAACGAATTTTACTGGTGCTAATAATTGCCTAAAGAAAATGGACTGGACTAAGATTGTAGATTATTCGTCGATTAGAAAAATAAAATGGATTTTTAATATCCCAACAGCTGCGTGGTGGGGAGGATTCTGGGAACGTATTGTAAGAATGATCAAAGAATTACTCCGGCGAAATTTGGGAAAAGCATGCGTTAATTATGAAGAACTGTTAACTGTTCTTTGCGATTGCGAAGCGATAATAAATACTCGGCCGCTGACGTATGTTTCCGAAAATGATCAAGATTTAATTCCATTGACACCTTCGATGTTTCTTTATGACCGGACAACCTGTGAAATACCAGACTTGGACAACATCGATAGAAATCATATAATCAGAAGATACCGATATTTGCAAAAATTAAGAGACGACATTAGATCTCGATTCAGGAATGAATACCTAGCGCAACTCATTCATCATCACCAACAGAGAAAACTATCTAGACCACTAAAAATTGGAGATGTAGTTTATGTGGAACAAGAAAATATAAAAAGAATAAATTGGCCATTGGATAGGATTCTAGAATTAATAGAAGGAAAAGATGGAAATTGCAGAGCAGCAAAGGTAAAATTACAACATGGGGAAATATTAAGGCCTTTTCAAAAATTGTACCCATTGGAAATAGACGCAGATTGCGAAAGTAAGGTTCATATTATGAAGGAAAGGAAGAGCGCTTAGAAAAGAAGGCGGTTAAGCAATATTCAGAGCAGACACAGAAGCTAGTTGGGAAAGAAAAGGATGATAAAGACGAAGTGAATGGACAGGCACGTCTAAAAGAAACAGAAGAAGAAGGTTTGAAGACAAGAAGTGGACGTCTAGTTGATACTTACTCATATACTTATTGTTAGACTTAGTTTGAGAGTTGTCAGTAATTTTGTCATTAATAAAAATATATTTGTCAAAGAGAAAAGTATTCACGATTATTCCATTCTTTTACTTGCACATTTCTAATAGTTAGGTATAATAAATAAATATATTACTTGCACATTTTGAATTGTTTTACAACATTTTAAATGTTAAATGCACAACGTGTTCTTCGAGACCACTTAAGTAAAAAAAGTTGATGGATCTACTTAAGGGTTAATAAAGACGTATTAGTATTATTATTATTAGTAAATATAGAGCGTTTCTGCAAAGTCTATTAGGACTAATATATTTTTGTTTTCTGAAAAATGCTGATTTTGGACATGTCGTATTTCTAAAAATGTTCCTAAATTTTAAATAAGAATATATAATTTGGCAATTATGTAACGATTCCAATTATCCAGCCGGAGTGGTGTGGGCCATTCAATATAAGGCTCCTTAACTACAAGGTTACCATCCTGTAATAAAAACCCTACCCATGCAAGTAATAAATAATTTCCTAAATTTGCAGGTTGTCAAAATTGTATTATATTCACATGTTAACAAAGTTTTAATTTAAACTGATTTTACTTAGGTTGTCACAAGTCAATAGTATATAATAATTTTAATAAAATATGCTATGCTTAAGTGTGATCTTTTTTTGGCAATATAAGTCTAAACTAAATAAATGAGTTGCATATGATTTGAATACATAATTTTTAATTGTTTTTTTTTATAATATATGTATATAGTATTATCCGAGAATATCGATCAAGGAGAAGCGTCAGTAGCTGTCGGTGCCTTTGATATCGGATGGACCTTTTTCACAGCATGACTTTGATTAATACACAACTTAATTCGCTGAGAAAACATGCTTATTTTCTACACTGAGCGAAATAGTTTGGCAAATTATCTGAAATCATTGTTATAGTCCATGCGCAAATGTTGTAATGTGATTTAATTACATTGAAGTAGTTAGGGTTAATAGCAATGGTGAGATTTCGGCACCAAAATATAAATCATTATGTAATAATTATTTGTTATAAAAGTAAAATACTTTTATAATTTATCTATAAAATTTGTTAAATATTTGGTTTATTTATTGTTAAAAATGTAATAAAAGCCCCATATTTAAATTAACTTTTCCTTAAGTAAAAATAAGGTAAATAAAATAACGGGTACCAAAAAAAATTAAGTAACAATTAAAAAGACGTTAGGTTTGAGAGTTTAAATAAGTATTTGCAAAGTTTATATTTTCAAAGCTTTTAGGATTAAAAAGAATTATGTATTAAGGGTTGGATACCTGACCTGGCTATCATAAACGAATTTTTAGAAATTACTTATTTAAGTAATTGCCAATATTTTTAAAATCAAATCCATTATATGATTCATTCATTAAATGTAAATATGAATATACAGAGTAGGTTGAAATGGGAAAAACATCCTAATATTGGCATAATTGTAACTTACAATTTAGCCATAATAAAGGTGTTTTGCCAATTTTGACCAATCACAACTGAAAGTACTGAAAGATCTTCCTCAAGAAAACACGCGGAATAATTATTTTTATTTATTCGGTGAATTATTTTTTTGAGTGTGTATCTCTTTTCTTAATTTCATCGTTAACGTTTTCTAGGTGAACGACTACTTAATAAGGAATCGGTTTGTGTTTGATCTCGGCACAAATAGTGGTAGGATATTAACCTTACCTACATCCGAACCAAACCATTGAGAGGTATTTGGACCTAAAAAATATTTTATTACTATAAAAAGTGAAATATTATTAGAATACCCCAGTTTGTAGGGAAATTTATTATATTATGTTACGAAAAAAGTGCATTTAAACTTATCCTGAAGATTTCTAAAATAATGGTTATCAGGGAAATAGGATTAAGTGTGTATATAAAGAGATAACAACCATATTTAAAAAATTTATTTTAAACTATTTTAAACTAACTTACAATCAGAAGGTAGGGCTTCTTCTCCAGGCGGGAATGATGGTCCAGGAGCTAAGGACATGTTGGTTATGTCAGTATGAGCAGGGAAAACTACACTATCTGAAAATATATTTTATATTCCTTAATCAATATTCACATTATTGGTTGGATCAAAAATCTGAATAATTATTATTACTATTATATTGGACAATATTTTATTATTATAACTTTAAGTCTCACAAACCTGACCATATAATTTTTTTAGGAGGCTCTCCTGATTCTGCCTAATTTTGATCAGGTATTTCTTTCTTTGTTGGAGGAAGGTTGAAAAACTTTGTGGGTATTGCTTTTGGTAATAGGATTTTTCTTGTAGCTCTGCCTTTTGAAAAATATTTTCCTTTAAAATGATTTTTACAAAGCCGATAGTTTTTGTGGACATTCAATATCTTCAGTAGTAAATCTTCCCTACTGCAAGCTTCTATTCACATTTTGGCACTACAAAGTTTTTTTTATTAAGTAAATACTAAACTAAACAATTATCAATATTACTAAAATATGATGAAAATAGTGATGGTGGGGTATGTTTGTACCCCGAATCGTATGAAGAGGGATGCAATCTATTGGAAACATTTTTATCATACATAATTATGATTAATTAATAATCATGATATTTACTGTTCGTAGTCCTTTGGAAAAGTAAATAAACTTAATCCTTGGCTGGTTTTGGACGAACCAGAATGGTATGCACAAAAATATCCAGATCCAGACATTCTATTACAACACAAAGAAACACCAAAAAATATCACTTAACAGCTCACAGACTAAACACAACTTGGACTGACTTTGACAGATAACATGATTTTGAGTGATACACAACTTATTTTTGAACATGCTCCTATCAAAATGGTACACTGAAAACATCAAGCTGTCGCTTCTCCTTGATCGGTATTCTCGGATATTATCATAATTAATATTTGTATGTACCTATATTTTTGATTAGCTATTGGCTATTGTTATTTAATTTAATTTTCTGTTTTATCGGTAATCTAGATGTAACTTCATTGCTCTGTAAAGGGATTGTAAAATATGTTGGGCAATAAATGCTATTATGTCTTTAAATAAAAAAATTAAATTTCGAATAATTACCTAAAGAAATAATTCAAAGTAAAAGAGTCCAAATATCCACAGTTCTTAATATCCAAAATTCTAAAAATATAAGCCAAAGCTTGTGGCTCACTTCTGTTTTCTAATGCCAGAACTAGGTCTAAATAAGTCTTATAATCCATTTCCCCACCATAAGTTAAACAAGTTTGAAAAACTCTATCCAAAAAAGGTTCTGTAAGAGTTCCAGAACCATAACCAGCCAATTCAGACTTGCTTAGCATACCATTATGATCCCGGTCTAAGTTTAAATAGTGTCCATAAATTCGTAAAGCAGATGGAGCACTAAACCAATTTTGTTCTTGTACTTCTTTACTTAGTTCTTCATCTCGAAGTTCTAGCAAATCATCAAGGAACGAACAAGCTAAAATATCTAAAATTCTTACCCTTCCTGCTCTTACTACATCTAAGAAAAATAGAATTTTTCTTACTGCAGTGCACACATAAAAACTGTGAAAAGATTTTTCTAAACCTTCTAACTGAGGCAATGTGGGCAGCAATTCTGTAATATAATTCTCTAGTTCTGCTTCTGTGAGATATCCTTGGCCAGTAGCATCATACAAAGATAAACCTATCCTAGTTTGATCCAACCACACTTTTCTCATGACATAATTGAACAAAGACATTATGGATACTCTTCCTTGCGAATCACCCTGTTGTAACTTAGCAAATACTACAGAGGTAATATAGTGCTTAACTTTAGGGCCCGCTAAATTTGAGACCTTCTGAAAATCAGCATAACTTATTAACTGTTCCTCTGAATTACTTTGATTCTGATCAAGAAGAGCCCAAAGTTCGTGTAATTCATTATTATCTAGAAGTTGCAAACTTTTTCTTTTTAACAAATTTGATCTGCTCTCTTCACGTAATTGTACCCGAAGTGGTTCTGTTTCTTTGGGTATTTTGTTGAAAAATTTTGGGATACCTATTTCTATAGTCTCCTCTTTTTTACACCATTCTTTAAGGTACTTTTTGAATTCAGTGTTTTCAATTTCCTCATTTTCCCTGTCTGTCTTTTGGTTTTCTAAAAATATCAGGATATAGCTTTACTGAAAAATTAAGCTAAAAGTGATAATACCTCCATATTTTCTTATTTTTTGCTTTAAAAGACTCTTCAAATCCATTTTCGAATACTATTTTGAAATTTTTTAAGTCAGAAGTCCAGAAATGTCAGAATTCAGAATGGCCAACTGTCAAGTCAACAGTCAACGATTAAACGTGTGTCTTTTTTTCCACCGGTTTTGTTGAAATCGTGGTTTCACCGATGCGACCTTGAACCACAGAATAATCACTATTACAGAAGCGAAGGAAAGCTAATTTTTGGGGAGGATTGTAAAAATTTGGCAACATGTTTGCTTGCAGCGACCTGTGGGGGGAGGAGTAGAACTAATCTTACTCTGTCGGTAATGTAGTTACCAGCAGTATTACCATCAACTCTTACTCTGTCGGTAATGCAGTTAACCGTAATTTTATATTTAATTTGAAAATTAGCGGTTTTTTTTAAAGGAGAATTTACTTTTGCAACTATTTTCTAACTAATAAGAAATATAGCCATACAAAATTTTGGTAGTAATTTAAAAAAAAAACATGTACGTGTAGCTAAAATATGTTCCTCTGGAGCCACTTTTTCAAAATTTAATCAAATTTTGATGGCAATAAATCGCAAAATTTTGTTTTTATAAAGATTTCAAAAATTGAGAAAATAATTAAATCAAATTTCAGAATAGTGGCTCCATTTCACTTTTACCTGAAGGTACATATTTTTCATAAACTAAAAAGTAAAATTAAATTATAGAAATATTTATGGCTCTATTTCGTATTGTTTAGAAAAAGATAATTGCATAAGTAAATTTTCCTCTTAATTATAATTAAAATTTTCCTTTTTTATTAGCTGTTTGTAACAATTATGAAATGCCCAATAAAAATGTAAAATTCTATGACAAATAATTATGAGGGATAAAATAAATATCATACAAAGTTTTATATAATTATATTTACAAATTCCCGAAAAAAATAAATAAAAAATATATCAAAGAGATGGCAATACAAAAAAATATTTTTCATGCACTTCACCCCCATACAAGCGAGCTTATGCGAAGCAAGAATGTCTATTATTATTATTATTATTTACTATGGCGCTCCCGGACGTCTTATAAATGATGCGAGTGTTGTTTTGATGTGTCAGGATCAGTCATTTGTAATTTATGATTTTTTTTATCGAATGTAGTGTATCTTAGTGTTTACCTTTGTATATTTTTTAACAATTATTGAGTAAATCTGTGTTTAGTGTTTTCCTCCTATTTTATGAACATTGTTTAGTAAACTTGTTTTTAATCGAAGACTTTTTGTGGTATGTGCTGAGCTATTTACATATTTTTATTTATTTTATTAAAGCAAAATAATTGTTTAGTGAACTGATGGAATCTAAAAGAAATTCGCCCATGTCTACCTCGAACGGATTCGAATACTAGTTATTTTTCATTTCCCAAAGTTTCAGAAAGGTATGCAAAACAAATTATGCAATTTAAATGAGGAAAACTCATAGCTCTACCTAACAAATAGTTTAAATTTTGATCCAGATATCCAAATTTACCAACGTTACGTGCTACGTTTGAAAAGTACCTCCTGGAACGGAGTAGAACTAGTAGATTTTTTAATCATGTGATAGTCGAGCTTATGTGGAATAAAAGAACAGCTATCACATACTTTGATTACTATACGAGGCAAGAGAGAGGTCCGACATGTCCAACATAGGGCGCGGCCATTTTGAACCCTGTGACACAGTTTATAGCTAAAGAATCAGATCGCTCACTCTGCGTCGGCACTTTGAATCTCAATGTTTCAGTTTATACACTGTGCAACTCGGATAATACAATATATGACAACCGCCTATAATAAAACAGCAGTCTTCTGCGTATCCTGAATTTGTATCCCTGGAGTGGATGTTATTTTGGAACTTTCAACTGGTCTGAGTGAGCTAACTGATTCTTTAGCAATAAACTGTGACTTCAAAAATAATATTCACTGACACTGACAGCAGCAAGCAAAATATCAGGTGCGTTTTAATCATCCGCTTCTGCTTCCGGAATTGTCGGTTTAGTCGTTTTAACCTGTCAGATTAAAACAAGAAAACAGACAATTCCGAAGCAGAAGCGGATGATTAAAACGCACCTATTAAAAATATTGCGCCAAGATGTAGGCAACACGTAATAAGAGTTCAAAATGGCGGAGTTTTCTATCTCCTTTTATAAGGCACTCAGAAAAGCTGCGCAATGCGACCATTCTCCGTATAGTAAAAGAAAATCAAAGTATGTGACAGCTATATAGATTTGTTTGTGTTTCCGGTTTCCATTAGAATAAACTAAAACCTTTCTTGTAAATCAAATTTGATTTCTCTTCTCCTGGTTTTTGTTGCAAGTTGCAAAATAAACTTCATTTTCAGCTGTGGTATTTTTCGCTTTTTGCCATCACTAGAAAATAAAACATGTTCTCATTTTTGTCTAACATTTTTTATAAATATTTTTTGCTCTTAATAACCAGATATGTAAATAAGATGAAAAATAATACACTGTGACCCAAGAGACAACTGTCTGTACATCTCTGACATCTCACAGAAGTACATTTACAACTTCAGTTGCTTTTGTCCAGTGAACTGTATAGTTAAAAGACCATGGAGCAGATCCCATCGAGAAACCACAGATGTATTAAAAGAACGGCTTCGAGTAAAATGAGTAAAACGAGTTACTTTTCAAATGCAGCAATGTTAACTGTATATTATTTATTTGGCTATTTAATCAAAACAATTATTTTATTATCATTTTTAAATCAAATTATATTTATGTACCTATGACAATGTATTTTGTATTTTTTTAGGTTTCCCATATGGTTAAGAGCCTGTAGTCGAGAAGACTTGATTAATATAACCAGTGAATAATTACACAAAAGCTACCTTGTGTAAAAAACATTTCCAGCCCAGTAGTTTTTCATTTGGATCAACTCGGAAACGTTTATTTAAAACTGTACTTCTGACAAAATATTCTGACACACACCCGCAACAAATGAAAACATTGATAATTCTGAATGAATCTGTACCCTACTAAATCCCACGACGATTTTCTCAGTACACCAGGTATTAAAAATAATATAAACGTGTTGTGTTTATGTATTTTTTTTATTTAAATATTTTTTTTAGGTCCCAGGAAAAGAATGACTAACTTTGAAGATTGAAGAGATATTGTTGTTTCTATTTTGATAATGCATGTGCCAGTCCCAAAAATATCCTTCGGTTGGGCCACAATTTTTAAACCAACCATTTGCAGATTAGTTAAATCTCATGCGGAATTTAAAAACAAAAAGCCTCTAGCTAGAAGACATTCCAATGAATACAAGTAGTTTGCGCTTACCTTGTATTTTTTAGGACCTAGGGCATATTCCTTTGTCTAAAATTTTATGCCTTTTAATGTGTATTTTTCATATTGAGATTTTTATTAATTTGATTTTTGTAATACGTGTTTTTCGTAAGTATTTTGGTTTATTAAAATTAATAGTCAGTATGGGTACGTGTTTTATTTATAACAACCTTTTTCCTACAGTACTTTTCTTCAAATCTCAATTTAATTCAAAGTTCTAATATATGCATCTAAAAATGCAAATTTATGTGTACAACAAATTCATATGATTTATAAACAAATCCTAAGTCCAGTCTGGATTTATGAAATACAGCTACGAGAATGTGCCATAATATAAGTTTTCCAAAATCAAGTCCTAAGATGTATCATTGATGCACCCGGGCTCTATCTAAATGATTATCTTCATACAGACAAATAAGAAAAAAGAGGTTACTGCAAAACATGAGGGTCGACTCCACTCCCACGTTAATGAAGTGCTGCAATTACTGGACAACTCTGCACAGAAGACTCGAAAGAAAGAAAAGCCATTTGAGCTAGTGCAGTATGAACGTTAGTGCTAGTGTAAAACACTGAGATAAATCGATACGCCAATTGAATCGGTGAGTGAAAGAACAATACATATCCAAAATGACCATTTTGAGAAAAACAAAAAAAACTGTTTTAAAGGAGAACTATGGGTTATTCGGCCAAATTATGTATTGTGAAGTTATAGAATTTTTGTTAACCGATAATAATACGTACATAAATTTAAAAATAAAATTATGCAAAAAATTATATTTAAAAAAAATGACTTATACTGTTCTTTCACTCAATTTAAAAAAAAAAATGTTTTAATTTTTTTTGTAGCTTTATTGATTATTATTTAACAAACTTATTTGTAATTTCTTTATCAGAATCTTCATTTTTGACTTTCCCAGAAATAATATATGTTAGTAAAACTCTAGGATTTCATCACTAAAGTAGAATAAAAGTATCTTTATATTGACTATCTTCTTTACGTTAATAGGGAAAACTTCTGAGTATGCCTTTTCTAATGGCTAGCATACACGTAACGGTCTACCAGAGAGGTCTACCTGTGCAGGTGTGCCTACGCAGATCGGCTTCATGCCGTAGCGTGTATGTCTACCTGTGTAGGCACACCTGCACAGACAGACCGTAGCGTGTATGCCCGCCATAAGGGTAACTGCAGATTGGCATTAGGTTTGATCAGCCTAATGCGCTCCACACATAAAAGTGTGCGAGACAAAACCGCCTATGAAGGCACTTGTAGTAACATATCCAGGAGTTTTACCAGTGTATGTAAACTGGTTGTACTGTGAAATGACAAAATTAGCTTCATGTTCATCTACTGATTTAGAAGTTTTTTTTTTTATGAAATTGCGACCACCAGTTTTTGAAATCTGCGTCAAATTTGTCTACGAAACGACATGGCTACGGAGTGAACAAACAGTACATTCGCCGTACTTGTACTGTTCTTTCACTCAGCTGAAAATTGAATAAGGCCCCATCGCTCGTATGATGTTGGTCGGTGTATTAATCTTTCGCTATGTGATAGGCCTATGAATTTTAAACAATTTGCCTATCTCAGTTAAAATTACCGTTTTTGGCACTTGTATTGTTCTTTCACTCACCGATTCAATTATTGGTGATGCTTTTCTACCAACGACTACTAGATTAATTTTGTTTACAAAAATGGAATTGTAAAAAATCACGGATTTATCCACCGAGTTGTCAAATAAATTGTTTATGGTATTATTGACATATCATAAGGGTGGAATCGGCCTTTAGCTAATAGGAGCTAGTTAACGAGTGTTCATTAGGGCGCGTTTTATCCATTTTTTTGTTGTTAGTTCCTTTAGGCTAAACCAACCCTGTGTCTTCACTTGGCTTTACAGTTAACATAACAGAAGTGGTTGCATTGGAAATAATTGTAAAATTAGGACCAGAACGTAATAACGTAATATAAGAGTTAAGAGTTACCGTAGTATGGATCAAGAATCACTTTATATTTAAAAAAAATGAATGCAATACAATTATTTACGTATTCGATTAAGATTAGAAACAATAAAATATATTTTTTTTCAGTCATGCCTATTACATTTTGTTTGTTTTTACTCTTTTTAACTTTATACTTGCGGTAACGTTAATCGTTACAAATTATGGTACGGAATGTTGTAAGCTGGGCAAAACACATTCCAATGGTGACAGGTGGTGACAATAAGCTATTTGCGCCATAACAATCATTCAAATATTTGTTTAATGCTTTATTTTGAATAACTAGTTGATTATTACATGGAAATAACAATACTAAGGTTTTGTAAAATGCTCCAAAGCTATTCAGAAATTCTTCATATCCTTTTATTATAACTTTAAAGTTCTATTCAAAATGAAAGGAGGTTAGGAATGTGGAAAGTAGTCCAGGAAAATACTGGAGGGCAAGTAAGTAAAATGAAATAGGGGTTGTTTTTATAATTTTTTTTAATGTCCTCTTCTTATTTTAGCATGAGGTGATGCATCCAGAGACATGGCAGAATTCTTGCCACTATGCGATTTATTGTTCAACGTCGTGTCCCTTGCAGCATATTTCTGTGATTTAGTCTTTGATTTATTAGTAGTATATGCTCTCTACACAAAAGGTCTAACAGTTACTTTTTCCCAATGTCTAGGTGCCATAATTTTGAGTACACTAGTTTCACAAATTTTATCAATGCATTGGTATTTAAGATCTAAAACAGAAGGTTGGCAAAAAATTGTTGTTATAGTGCTACACATTTTGCAATTTGGTGTCCTATGGCGATATGCTCGACTTCTTGTACCTGTTCAATTAGCTAGTGTTAAGAGTGAAGTTAGAGACTTATGTATTTTGAGACTAGTGCATGGATTCTTGCAAGCAGCCCCTATGTTGCTATTACAACTCACATTGTTACCAGGTAATTGTTATGTGAAATTCGTCAATTTTTTTGCATCAAACATTATGTTACTGTTGAATACCTTAATAAATATCTTGCCAAATTATCTTGCAAATTATACTGTCATGACGATTCATTTAAATCAATCCACATGTAATGATCTAATATTAATAAATTGAAAGTATGGTGTTTTCACCTTTTTTTTGGCATGTTTGACATCACAATTCTACGAAATAAGTAAATAGACAACTTTATGTTAGAATCCAATTACAATAAGAACATTGCTACGTCAACCATTATTTCAATAACTATCAATAAATAAGCAATATTCCCCACTCGACCATTCACTGTTGGGTTCTAATTAACAGTGCTGTTCCTAAAGTGGCGCTGGGAAACAGTAACAAAGCCTACACAGAACACAAGGCTAATGACCTTAGTAGTCGATGCTGATGACACCAAATAAAAAAAAATAAGCAATAAGTTGGGTATACAAAATATTTGCTCTATTCCTATAATATTAACATGCCACTAAACCCCCAGTGGGCGGTGTTCGCCAATGAATTACTTTGCAAAGTGATGACACGCCTGTGTTCTTATTGTAATCAGACCCTACCAGTGGTGATGCTAATGATTCAAATTGTCAATGTTATATTTCTAGGCATTGTGACTTTACTAAATCCTAATTATCAAAATTATTGAATTAAATAGTTTTAAATTTGATACAGATCACCAAAATATAAAATTTCAGTTAATTAATATCAGATTTCTAAAAATAATTGTTAAAACACAACTGCAGTACCATTGCTATTTTTCCTTGAAAACTAACACTAACAAGGGCACCCACATAAAAAAATGCTTTATGGAAATATTCCATGGAATGGTGAAATAAAACAAACACATATGCCTGACAGTTTAATAACAAATATCAAAGCATATAAGTGAAATATAATGTATGTTTGAGAGAGATGATAATATGAAAGCGATTTATATATTATCCAAGGCACATGCCAAACTTGCTGAAAAAACAAACAAAACAATTTATTATAACAATGTATATTATGACATGTAAGTGTAAGCAAAATATTAGAAAAATAATGATGCTTTGTGGATTAATGGCTTACTAATTACTTCAAAGTAAGGTAAGAACACCAGTAATCGACCCTTGTAGAACATCTTATGGCAATTTACAGCATTGTAAAAACCCTATCAATTGCAAAGTTTTCTTCCTGTCAATTATCGATTGGCTGTAATGATGGATAATAAAAGCCTGATTGGCAGTATGTAAATGAAGAAGTATATCCACCTGGTCGAATGTGGTCATCTTAAAAATTAAAAAATAATCACATCCCAATTATGGAGATTTTCATTAATAATCGTCGCCCCAGTTATCGACATTACAAAGACAGCATTAAGGAGTCGAGTACTGGAGCCCCATAATACCCCAGTAATTGACAAAAAGTGTCAAACACTGGAGAATAATGTATGGGCATACCCTGTTGCAATTAAAGCAATTAAATTTTACCAGAAACATGTGTTTTAGAAGGTAAATATATTTTACACAAAATTTTATTCACATATCAATACGTTTTTGCCAAACTATCGTAAGTGCATTTGAACAAATGTAGCTTACGTTAGTCTGACAAAAAGGTATCAATATATTAACTATTTAAAAAGCAACAAACTATTTTATAATGTACTTGCATTAACAAATTTCTTTAGAAGAAAAAACGAAATGCACGTGCTTGACCTAACGTTAGTCAATTTTGCCACTTAACCAAAACTGAGATCTAGGATTTTTACAGTGTTTACCAGATACATTAGACTTTTGTCCTGGCAGATAATTATGTACAAATCTGAACACATGCCCTTATTAGGAGTGTTGATTACTGTTGATTGTTGATTACTGGTACCTTTTATGATAAATTGATTGTCTTATTTGACATTCTCAATGTGGCGATGTTTGGTAAATATTCAGCTGTTATGTAATATTTGGAATACATATTCAAACTTGAATAAGCATAAAGGTATTTTTCATGTATATGAAATTAAATAAATTAAAAATACAACAAACATCGTTTACCCAGTGCTGGCAAGATCTAAACTACTTTACTTGTGTTAATAAATAGCGTTTACATGTGGAGGAGAGGAAAGACTGGTATCGACGTTGTCAGTGCTCAGCCATCTATTGAATTGTGATTGGCAGTATTGATACTGAGTCGTTTTTTTTTGTCAGAATGTGTGCCATTTACTATTCACTCAAACACATGCAAAGCTGGACTGAAGGTTTGATCTTATGAATAAAGTATATGTTATGGTAAAAACATGAATTCTCGTGAATGTATACTTTCACTAGTCAGTGCATGGCATTTATGGAGTATTACCCAAAGTAGGTGTCAACTAAATATGAAAATTAAGAAATGATACTCAAAATCAATCCCACACACAAATTGTTCAATTAGGTAAAATTAAACTGTTCAAACTGTTATAAAGTCTATTGAACTTTTGCACTAATCAAATGCTGTAGCAGCTCTAAGTATAAAATTTGAAGTTCTATTTTCAATATTAGAATGAAGTAAAATGGGCGGTGGAAAAGTCATTGACATTTACAGCATTATGTGTAATGTATGTATGCTCTCACTAGTTATTGTTACATTTACTAAAGCACTTTAGTGCAAAACTATAAACTATTCATTTTCTTTAAAATAAAGAAATGGAAAAGCAAAGAAACAAATTTAACTAATCGTGGGAGGTCGACCTTCACCCATCTGATAACCAGGTGAGACATATTTTTTATGAAAGTTTATTGATTTATTAACACTCCTATGGGAACTTGTCATTCGAAAAGTGTTCATGGCTACTTTTAATTAAATAAATTTTCCATTTTTTTATAACGTTTACTTTTTTGATAACCGAACAAATTTAATTTTAACAGATAGTTTTTAACGTGGAAAATATGCCTTGTTTACTTATTTCTGTTCATGGCTACCTAGGAAGCAGGTATGAACAGGTAAGTCAATATAGGTAACTACACCGAAATGTCAACTAATAAAAATTGATATCAGAAGAAAGATAATTTAATTATCTCTTTTCTGATATCAATTTTTATTGGTTGACATATTGGTGTAGTTACATATATTGACTTACCTGTTCATACCTGCTTGCCAGGTAGCCATGAACATAAATAAGTAGACAAGCCTAACGAGGCATATTCTCCATGTTAAAATTAAATTTGTTCGGTTATCAGAAAAGTGAAGGTTATAAAAAAAAAATGATTAAAATTTATTTAATTAAAAGTAGCCACGAACACTTTTCGAATGACAAGTTCCCATAAGAGTGTTAATAAATCAATAAAATTTCATAAAAAAATATGCCTCATCTGGTTATCAGATGGGTGAAGGTCGACCTCCCACGGTCTCTGGGACTATAACCTGTGCGGCCTAGAGATAACTTTATGACAAATTTTTGTCTGTTGTTTCTTTCACATTGTTTTAAGGAATTATGAAACTGAACAGAAAAATAAAATGTTTGACCAAACAAATAAATTATGTATGCTAAACACACCTGATCTCAAAATAAGTACGTAACTAGTGTGTAAATAGTTTTTAGTTTCAAATACAAGTTAGCATGTATCTAGACACAGTGTTTAATAAAATTCAGAAAATTTAAAAATATTTCATACAACTTTCTACCATAATATAAGTATATTATAAGTGAATCTAAAATGGATTTTTTTTTAATTGTGATAATTAATTGCAAATTCAGATATAATTTTGATTTTTAGGTGTGGAACATGGACCTCAAACTGATCTAATAAAAGTGTCGTCAGCCCTATCCCTATTTTCAGTTTGTTGGGCTCTAGCATCATTTAGCAAGCATATACAAAGTATTGATAGGCTTGTACTTACCTGGTTAGGAGTTGTGTCCCAGTTACTTTGGAGAGGAGGTACAATAACTGCCAGGGCCCTTGCTCTCTCAGCCTATGCAGCAACATACCATTCGTGGATTTTTCTTGTGCTAGCACTTCATTGGGCTTGTATGTTTCTTTGGTTACTCTCGCCCAGAAGCCCTTTTCATGGGCAAAGAGGTAGCAAGTTAGGAGTTTGTGCCCTTATGGCTGCTATTTATGTTTTGGCCTACATAAATTTACAAGATAAACCACATAGAAGGACTATGGGTATATTTTATGTGGTAATGTTACTGGAAAATTGTTTATTGGTAGGAGCATGGGTAGCAGCAATATGGACTGTTAGACCAGAACATTGGGAATTGGTTCCAATTCTTATGGTAAGTTTAGTTTTCAATACGATGTATTTGATTTACTTTCTAACATTCCAATTTTTATTAGATAAGTTTGTTTGCTGCTGGCATTACATTTATGCTTATTTATTACAAATTCTTCCACGTAAAACGCTTAATGGAAAAGCCATCTCAACCACCAGGTGTATTTAATTGTCGGTTTAGTAGCCCATCAGCATCTGCTCTTTATCGCAAAAAGAAGAAACCAACAACTTTTGTACCTCCTCCTGGCCTTGGACCAGTTTCTGTCCCTTTCTGGAGAAGACCCTTACCATCATCTAGTGAAAATGAAGGTATAATAAATGAAGTAATACTGAATAAAAAATACAAAATATAGCTAGTAAATTCAAAGATCAGTAACAGAAAGCATGAATTTTTTAGGGAGCAGTGTCGGTTCAAGAGTAAACATTCATCAAAAACTGCAAGAAAAAAAGCAAAAACAATTAGCGGAACTAAAGATAATTGAAGAAGAAATAAAACAGGGCAAGCTTGTTGGTCCAGGAGGAGCAGAATTTGATGATAGACAACCAATACCAAGAACGAAACGTCATGTTGAACCTCAACTCTTGAGTTTGTCATCATTAAATAATTTAGCAAGCTATGGAGTAAGTGTTGCAGCATATTTAAGTAATTAATTAAAATGTATTCCATTTTTATCTTTAATAACAATAGAATAAGAAAGAATGGTGTTGGCCAAAGTTTTGGACCTTGAAATATTTGAATTAATATTGAAGTTAGATGTTCCTATTTTTACTGATGTACTTTAAACTATTGATTTTTTTAGATCTCTTTGAAATAACCGATTTACCTGAATATTATGTTACTTGCAGCATATGAGTTTACTGATTTTTAAAAAATTTGTTGAGAAAAAAATCTGCACATGTAGACTTTTTTACAAATTTGATGATTTTTATATATATACTTTATAATTAACATTTCTTGTTGAATTTTTCGATATATATTACACGTTTCAGGCAGTATAAAACTTTTATTTTCAGAAAGCTATAATAGCACAAAAACATTTTTTTAAAGTTTCAACTACGATATATACAGGATGTATCCTAAGTTGATTATTTTCAACTGTGCATAGAAGTCATTAAAATAAATATCTTTTTCAAAAAAACTCAAAACTGAGAATGATACAGAATTAAAAAAATCTAAATCCGTGCCAGAACTTGTGTATGAAAAGTTAAGCTAAATAAGAAGTCTATGTTTTTACCTTTTTTTGTTTCTGTTAAGAGTGACGCTTCATTGTGTACCGGTTATTGTAGTTTAGACGCTTGGATTTCAGTAGTGTGTTTATCTGAAGTAGTGAATAAGTTAAATAGATCTCTTTCAAACTAAAGAACCCACAATCGTCTATTAGAGCTTAAATCACTAAATTGATTAACAAACATCGTAGAAGTCTATTATAGCGTAATACTGTTCTGTATGGCCAATTATGACAATGAACTTGTGAGTATGTTACTAATTTAGGGCGAGTGTCTTCAAAGTGTAGCTTCTGCATGGGGTTGTACAGTGAATGGTTTCCCTTGCGAGTCCATCCTAGTCGCAGAACTTTCATTAGTCTGGCTCAATGGGCTAGGGATACAGGTAATTTGTGGGAAAATCGTGGAGGACATGTAGGAAGACCGAGAAGACATGGAGTACCTTTAGAAAAACAAATTTTAAATATAATCAAGGAAGATCCAACACACAGGTAATTGCAGATCAGGTGGAAGCATGGTAGAAGTAAGTCAAAGAAAAGTGTGGACAACATTGCGGAAAAATCAATTGTATCCCTTACATGTTCAACAGGTTCAAGCACTACAACTTGAAGATTTACCCTGCAGAGTTCAGTTTTGTGAATCTTAGAACAGCAATAAACGTGATCAACAATTTTCAACGAAAGTGCTATCTACGAACGAGTCAACATTCTCCTGAAATGAAATATTAATGATTGCTCAATGCAATTTCGAGAAGCAATTTTCACCACCGATTTTCCAGAAATGTGTGGTCAAGAAGTGTGAATTGTTGGGCCGTAATCTTACCAGACTGTTCGATGGGCGAAATTAACCTTTTTACAAAATCATCTGACTGGTCTTTTAGAAAACGTACCATTTAATATCTTGCTTGATATGTTCCTTCTGCAGGACGGGACACCAGTCAATTTTAGATGGGAAGTGCAGGAGGGTAGACATTACTTTCCCAAATGGGTAGATTGGTCAACATGGACCAGTTGTGTTGCCATCAAGGTCACCAGACCTAAATCCTGTAATTTTTTCTTGAAAACTTTAGTTTACAAGACGCTGGTAAATAAGAATTAATTGCACATGCATATAGCATGCTGCATAAACAATTAGAGGAAAACCGTTTTCCTATAACGACACGTGACAACTTTATACACATTATTTAAGTTTGACAGGACTGTATTGATTAAATTTTGGAATAAATTAATGTAAGTTTCTTGTTTTTGAGTTTTTTTTGACAAAGTTATTTGAAAAAGTTGTTTATTTTAATGGCTTCTGTATATTATCGAAAAATGCCTCGTGTGTTCACGTGCTGCTCTCTCTTAGCTAATATTTGTATTATTCAGTGCATCAAATACCTCTACGGTATTTTAGACAAAATATTACAGCTTTTGAAGCGTTTGAAAACACCAATAACTCTTTTTGGCCAAAAATGCACATGTGGCTTTCTTTCAACACTTCAGAGTTAATTTCGACCGTTTGATCAGGATAGAATCTCAAGTGGCTTGGTAAATCTCCCTTAAACCCCCAATATAAACAGTTAAGATTAAGCGCTCAGCCAATATACAAATCGGGTAGCAAGTCAGACGTCAAAAATTACCGACCTATATCTATTCTCAGTACTATACCTAAGGTTTTTTTAGAACATTATAACCTTACCTATGACTTCTTTGACATCATAACGGATCATCAATATGGTTTTTGTGCTGGGCAATCGACTAAATTAAATCTAGTTACCTACGTCGACTTCCTGTCTGAAGCTTTGGAAAAGGGTTGCCAGATTGAATCTGTGTACACTGACTTTTCTAAGGCTTTTGACAGGGTCAACCATTCTCTCTTACTTCAAAAGCTCGATAAATATGGCATAAATGGGGTCGTACTGCAATGGATTAGTAGCTATCTTACGAACAGAACTCAAATGGTTAGAGTAAACCATCACTATTCTAACTCATTTCAAGTTACCTCAGGTGTTCCTAAAGGATCGCACCTTGGTCCCTTATTATTCAACTTATTTATAAATGACATCATTCATTATTTTCAGTATGGCAAAGCACTATTGTTTGCAGATGATTTAAAAGTTTTCATAATTATTAAAACCATTTATGATGCCCTCTGGCTTCAGTCTGATCTTGATAATCTATCAAACTGGTGTTCCTTAAATGGCATAGACTTGAATACCATAAAGTGCCATGTCATGCACTTTTTTCGGTACCAACTACTACTTTTGATTATAATTTAAATGGTCATATCTTGGAGTCTGTTAATCAAATTAGAGGCCTTGGAGTTATTCTAGATCCCACTTTAAGTTTCAATCAACACATACCTAAGGCCATAAATCCATGAAAATGTTAGGTTTTATCAAAACGCTAACACATCATTTTACTGACACAATTGCAATTAAAGTCCTTTATTGTTCACTAGTCCGACCTCACCTAGATTATTGCTCTTCTGTCTGGTCTCCATATTACATAACGCATAGCAGAAACATAGAAAATTCGGTGTCCTTTGCGAGTATGGTTTGATAAAGAATTTTCTAAACATCCCCTCTTTGGAAACTAGTAGGAAACAGAGAGACCTGACATTTCTTTTCAAAATTGTTATTGGCAGATGCAGTTGTACTGAACTTCTAAGAAAAATAAATCTTTATGTTCCAACCCGAACAAATCGAGAGCAACAAACAATTTATGTACCTTTTTATCGTTTAAACCATACTTTTAGCAGCTGTATTACAAGAATGTTAAGATTAGCCAACACTCATAACGATATTGAGATATTTAACACCCCCTTTCATAAATTTATAAAGAAATTACTTAGTACTGAGCCTTTGATATTTAATTTTTAATGTTTAATGTTAATATTTTATTCAACCTTTTTGTCTTTTTAAATCTTTTAAATTATTTACCTATTTTAGTCTATATGTAATTAATTATACCACGTTTGTATTTCAGCAAATGGGTTTGCCCGTAAATAAATAAATTTGTTGGATTGGCTTGAAGTAAGCAACTTTAAATGCACAAATTAAATGCTTAATCCATTTTCAATTCGGATCCAGCTTTCGTGCCAAACTTCACCCACCTTTTTAAATATTGTATTTTGTATTAGGTATATTATTTTGTAAATATTGATTGCCAATTTGTTTTAAATTATTAGCTTAAAAAATTAAATTAAAAGTCATTTTTGTTATGTAGAACGAAAAAAGTGAAGTTAGAGATCACTTATACTTAGGCAAGTTTATGGTCAGAGACAGACGGGCTTCGAATCCCAGACCGGACCATGTGGATTTTTAATTTAATTGCATGGTTCGGTATAGGATTTGATATGTGCTGTATTAATAGAAATTCAGTTTCTGTTGATATGACATGCAGATTATAAAATCGCCATGCATTACCGTCTCGATGATGGTGGGTGAGGTTTTCCGGGTTTTCCTCATCTGTAAGTCAAATGGCACCATCAATCATCTTTAAATAGCCCCGGAGCGTCACGGCAAATAATAATAATAATAGCCGTTCCTTTCCCCGCACAACCTCAGCTTTTGGGGTTAAAATTGACTCGTAAGGAGGTGAATTAGGGAGAGTATTATATTATTATTATTATACTAATCCTCCTCGATTTCTCTAAATAAACACGTGAGATTTAGGATTCAAAATTCAAGTTTCTATTGAACCGTCGAAATAAATGTAAGGTTTCTTCCAACAGCTAATCTGGTCATCAGAAGGACGTCAAACACATGCGCATTGAAAATAGTCCGTTCCTACAAAGCCGCGGATAATACTGTCAGTAAAACGTTCCAACGTATTTTCTGATTCGTACATGAATGTGTCAGCGGATTGTCAAAACGATCAGAACTTCATCGCTCATACAATTTATCAGCACATGCGCGTTTGTGCTATTTATTTGTTATTGTTGTGATTTTAAGTTAGCTTAGAGTTGTTTGGATTTCTATTGCTTTCATTTGAAATGAATAAAAATTTTTTATCTTGCGTACGCATTTTTATATAAAATACGCATCTTAAGGTCTCAAAATTATACATTCAAATAGATCGTTCGGGACAGTTAAATAAATGTATTATGTTGTATTTTAAATAATGTTTAAAATATCTATTCACCAAACATGTGTTTGGTTTGTCCAATTCCATTTCATTTTGCGTTCTAACAAGTACAAGTCGCTGATAAACAACGGACGAATAAACGGACATGCGCAGTCATTAATTTATGAATGCATCCATGCCTGAATCAGAGACACATTAGAATGGAGCTGTTGGGACAAACCTGTAGTAAATATAACTTTACTAATTTATAATTTAAATTATACATGATCTTGTTTTTCCGCTGTTTTGTTTTTATATCTGCTAACCCAAGAACAATGATTATTTTTTCTAACTAACCTAAAACTCCTTTTAGTTTAGTAATTCAAGAAAGATATTTATTTTTTAATTTTTAGATTTTAGCTCGTCGACCGCCTCCAAGAGCACCTAGAAGCCGAACTCCTGAACTACTTCTAGCCCCCAGGTACCTCTACTGTGACTGCCCAATTCCTGAACCTGAAATCGTAGAAGTACCAGTCCCCCATATCTCCTCAGACCTAGAAAGCCAAGTGTCAATACCCCGTTCTTATACATTGCCTAGAGAATTCAAGTATTACCGAAGACAAAGAGTTGGAAGACCAATTCAACCAATTCCCTCTACAAATAGCAGCGATGGAGATGTGGATAGTGGAGATGACGAATCCGATTGTAATCCTCCTCCTCCCAACATTGTCAGACCTCTGAGGAGGCATTTTAGACATGAAACTAAGTTGTGATTGTAAACCTTCCATGGAATGGGTTCTCGAAACTTAGACTACAAAAACATGAAAAAGTAACTCAAATACGCATTCTCAATCATGGATTGCAAAAATTGTGTTTTAGAAATAAAAATTCTTAATTTTAACGTCACTATGAGAATTGCTTACTAAACACCAATAAAACAGTGTCTTCTTGCTAGATAGGTTCCAGAGAAATAAAAATATAATTTTTTGTAAATTTTATAAAAATGAAAGGTTGAAGCATTTTTTTTTATTCTTTGTTAAGATATGTAAGAAAAGGTTTTTATAAAGTCTTATTACTATTCTCAACGAGTTTGTTCGAATAGTTAATTAAAATTAGGAATTTTTATATTGTTAATTATGTTAAATTTGATATACGAGAATCATTCCTGAATAGATATTAATAATTTTATGATAAATTGTTTAAATTTATATACATGGACTTTTTATACTTTTGATATATACATATATAATTTGTATTATTTATTTGAACTGTAAAGCTAATATACTTTATAAATATATTAAGTAAAATAAATATTTATATATTTTTTTAAATACTTTAACAAGAGTTATATTTCCAATTAATTCCTTCATGTAGAAATTTTATGAATTTCTTTACGATGAAAATGGTTTTACATTTTTGAATAAATTCATGAACCATTGTCAGAGTTGGGTAGTATCTGGATAGTTCTGTATCCGGATACTTTATGTGTATCCGAAAGCTGTATCTGGATACTTTTCAAATTTTGTATCCGGTATCCGTATCCGTGACCAAATTTGTATGTATCCGGATACCGGATACTTTTTTCGGCATTCGGATACTTTTCAATTATTTACCACAATCGTAACTGATCCAATCCAAATTATCTCTATTAAAATATATATTTGAAATACTTTGAGCTACCCTGTATAATTAGAAATAAAATACGTAATTTTCAATATTACAATATTTAAGACATATTTGCAACAGGTACCTACTTAAATAAAAAATAGTAAAATAATTATTTTATTATGTTTTGCAGTTTTGTTTGGTGCAACCTATAAAAATTAAAACAATGCAAAAAAAATTGTCATCGCCAAGGATAAATTCGACGATTCACCCAGTATACAGACGATCGGGATTCAGCATTTTGCGGCACGTTTTTACAGGAAAAATCCTGAAAATCATCCGGTGTTAGCGTCACGAACTTATGGAGGTTCCATTAGCCCAGTTATGTTTCAGTTGGCAAAGACAAGAGACGTTTGTTACTGTGTTTTTATATAGTGAATATAACTAAACTTTCTGTATCAGTTTTAGTGCCTAACTATACGCAAAGGTAAGTAGGTGTAGGTACCTAGAATTTTTTGTTTTCTAAAATGTCGAATTATATTATTAGTTCTTAAAATGTAGTCGAGAAAATACATGTATGACTGTAATTAATCTCTCAAATCGGCCACTCGTGGATGACGAAACAAGCTTACTAGCCAAAGGAGGAAATTTCAGCATAACGCCACAGACAATACCTACAGAAGAAATAATTGCACATATAGGAGCCGGAATTGAAAAACTACCACCCGATGTCAAAAAAGAGGTATGCAGTGAATCTGCAAGAATTCTACGGAAAGTCAAACCACCAAAAAGCAATATTTCAAGAGGTGAGAAGGCAGCCATAAGAAGTCTCGATGAGGATGAATACATAATTCTACCCGTCGACAAAGGAAATGCAACAGTCGTCATGAACACGAACTACAGGAGCAAGCTGAATGATCTGGACAATAGACACATACAGAAAATTGTCGAAAGATCCAACATAGATGATTTTAAAAATAACCATCAAATTAATAAAAGAATCGTTACTACCACCGGAAACAAAGAAGAAAATCTGCACTGCTGAAGTTCTATCACCAAACTATATGGATTACAAACATCTGGCGGAAATTCTGCAAACGCACGTGGGCAAGACAAAAAACTCACGTGTGAGACTACGCACTTCATCGAACACTTAAAGAGTATCAGCTTAGAGCCTAACGACATCCTAATCAGCTCTTTGACATCATCTCTTTATATACAAATGTGCCACTCGAAAAAGTAGTCAGCTACATAGGGGAGTTTTTACCAGAGCTCATCAATCTTTTCCGACACTCCTGAGAATCAAACATTCTATGAACAAATTGATGAAATCGCCAGTCAGCCCAGTTGTGGCCAAAGTTTACAAGGAAAAATTTGAAGAGAGTTATTCTCACTGCTGAAAAATAACCAACACATTGGCTGAGGTATGTAGATGACACATTTGTAATCTGGAGCTACTGGATAAAAGACCTCTAAAATTTCCTAAACCATCCTAAGGTTCAGTTTACCATGGAAATGGAAGAAAACCGACAAATTCCTTTCCTAGATGTGTTAGTCAGCTGAGAAGACAATAAACTAAGCCACAGAGTATACAGAAAGAAGACACACACTGATCGATACCTAAAATATGGACACAACCATCATCCAAAACAGAAGCCCACAGTTATCAACACTTTTGTAAACAGAACCTTAAGAATATGTGAACCAAGACACATCAACGATGAAATGAAACACCTGACAACAGTGTTACAAGCAAACGGATACAGAAAAAAAAGACAACCCGTGCTACGCGCCCAAGGAAGAATAAGATCAAGTCCAGAAAAAATGACTAAGCTAACGAATAGTGGTGATATATCTGGATTATTTTGTACAGTGTTTTAAAACGTCTTAAATCTGGCTAATTTTAAGTTCAATTTACTCAGTTTTACGTATCCAATAACACATATACATCAGTGCGTAATTGATCGATAGCTGTTTTATTATTGGAAATACATACGAAAAATATATAAAAGTTGTATGACTATATTTAACAATTGTTCTAAAATATACAGGGTGATATATAAACGAGGGGCCGACCAAACCTATAAATTTTTAAAGCAGAACACCCTGCAGGTGGTTATACATATTTGATTGTTTTCACATCGCCAAACAGTTTTAAAATCGGGACTATCCCACCTAAATCAGGACGGATGGCCACTTATTATTGTTCTTAGTATTATTTATTTTTAGTACAAGTTTTTTTTTAGGTTTAGTTACTTGTAATTACTTTTAACACTTCAGAGTTGGGTAGTATCCGAATACTTCAGTATCCTGATACTTTGTGTATCCGAAATTTGTAAATATCTGTATACCGGATACTTTTTTCGGCATTCGGATACTTTTAAATTATTTACCACAATCGTATTGATCCAATCCATATTATCTTTATTAAAATATATAATCAAATACTTTAAGCTACCCTGCATAATTAGAAATAAAATACGTATTTTTCAATATTACAATATTTAAGACACAATATTGCAAAGGTGTGTCCTCACCGAATCAAGGTTAACCGATCGACTCTGTCTATCGACATGGTTGATCAACAAGTCTACAAAACTGCATATGTCCACACCAGAGTTGACAGAAATGTTTGTCGATCAGTCGAAAATAACAGGTCTGACGAAGATGACATTATAGTTGCTTGTGCCGCATATATTATCGCGACTAAAAAAAGAAAACTTGCATGAAAAAGATTTTGGGTTCGACCAAGTCTTCAAACTAGAACTAGATACAACACTAGTAATTTGATAGAAGATTTAAAAAAGATGACGTCAACATATTGAGCCTTGAATACAGGTGTAATGGTGGTTTTAGAATTTTTTTTCAAATGTCGGAAAGTAAATTTGATTATTACAAGAAATCGGGCCAAAAATTTGTAAAGAAGTCACCAATTATAGACCTGCCATTCCCATAACGGAGCAAGACGTTACTTAGTACTAATAGTTTGTCGAATGTCGAAAACACGTCCACACACTAAAGTCGATCGACTGCTCTTTCATGTTTACCGACAGGCGATGGAAAACAAATCGACATGTCGATCGACACCGTCAATTCCCGCGTACACACAAAGTCGACAACGTCAATAGACAGTCGATCGACAGTGTTGATTCGGTGAGGACGCACATTTAGAATTTCGCATAAAATGTGTAAACAAAATACATTTATATCGCTTGAGAAACAAAAATCAAGAAAAGGAGAATAGATTCCTCTTAATAGAAAAAGAGTAGAAATTTGGAATTTAAAGATAGTTAAGGTAATTTCAGTATCTATTTTGTTTAAAATACAGTTTTTAAAAAATGGTATAATTAAAAAAAATATCTCTGAAAATCAGCTTAGATAAAAAAAAATGTAAAAATAAAAGAGAATATAGAATTTCGTGTAAAATGTCTCTCCATAATTTCATTTAAATCGCTTGACAAATAAATATAAATAAAATCAGCGGGGTATTACTACCATTTAATAAAAATATTAAAAAAATGATATAATAGCTGAATGATTGTATGTGTTATAATGTACTCATACATGTATGACGTTGTTGTTCATAATGTTACTGATCATGTGTTATTTATGTCGTCATCAACATCAATAAAGTATATAGATCTGACAAGATCAAATATACGAGCCTGCTTTGCCTATGCCAGAACGAAACATTCAGTAATCTCTCAATCCTCCTCCTTTCGACGCTCTCGACTCTACCAAGTACCGCTCGTCGGAGGATCCACAAAAAATGGATTGTCGAATACATCTGACACTGACGAGAATATCAAAAGGTTGTATAAACATGGCAAGCCGCGCCAACAACGAGCTTATTTCTTTAGATTTATATGGACACCACACTGGCTGGTTTTTGGCGAGGTTCAGGCGCGACTCGTTTTATTTATTTTGTTTTAATGTTTATTTTGTTTTATATTCACACACTAAAAATAATGAACAATTTATTGAGTAGTTTTTTCCTGTTTCTGTTATATGGCTTTCCATTTTCGATCATTTATTTATGCCTAGTATTGTTTATTGTTACTCGTAATCAATCTTATTGCATAATTATAACTATTGGTATGAAAACATTATTTTAACTCACTTTAAAAGTATCCAGATACTTGTATCCGAGTACTTTTTAGGTGAAAGTATCCAGATACATTGTAAGTATCCGTATCCGATACTCGTATACTTTCTTTCTGTATCCGACCCAACATTTTCACTGCCGCCTACTCCGATCCGAGTCGATCGCCGGCTACTCCGATCGAAGTGTTAATATTTACTACGTTAAATGCTAATAACTTTTTTTTATTAATAAATACGTTTGCAATATTCTATTTTAGTAATTACTCCGATTTGAGTAGGCTGGCAACGGTCCATCGATGGTTTACAAAAATTTCTCATCAATGCTACCCACTCCAATCGGAGTCGTTTTTTTTGTTATATTAATTTTTTGTGCTCCCAAAAAACATATAACACTGAAGAAAGAGTTTTCTAACGTAACTTTATAATTATGTGCAAAAAACTTAGTTTGGCTCCTCGCGACGGCGCACTAGTCACAAAGCGACAGCGAAAATGTTTGTAAGGTGTATCCTAAATAAATAATTACCTAAATCATTTATACCAGCAATTTTAGAAGTGTATACCGTGTATATTTAAGAATAATTGTTTTAGATTAACAGTTTTTTTGTATTTCCAATAATAAAACACCTATCGATCAATTACGGACTGATGGGACACCCTGTATACGTGTTATTGGCTAACATGTTGGTATCGTTGTATAGGCAAATTTATACTAATGTAAACTAATATTCAGGGTATTGCATTTAAAAAAAATTGAGTAAATTAAACTTAAAATTAGTCATATTAAGACCTGTTTCAAAACACTCTGTATAAAATAAAGTTCCATTACCACTATTCGTTAGCTTCTTATAAGTCTCTACATTAAACAATTTTGAAATCAATGTAAACCTACCTACTTATGATAATTTAATATGGGAACTGCTGAACTGCATTATTCTTTAATTTAATAAAAAAATTAATTGCTTGACAAGCCTGTAATGTTTTTTTAAAAACGTTTTAGGGTTGAATACAGTATTACCAAACCATTCTAAAAATAAAATATAATTTTTATTTGCCAGCAAAAACACCTTGTATATCCAAAAAATATTTTTAAAATCCATATAACTTGTATATGAAACTTGTTTGCGTGTCTATAACGCAAATCATATTTTTCATGTCAAAGCTGCCAGCCTCCAGGGTATTAGATTTGTGGGTATGAATTTTGACAATTCGTCCCCTTGCCAAAAAAATTGAAGTGTTCTTCGAAATTTTGAAAAACTTGTTTGTTAGAGTTTATGTGAGGCAAGTTATCGTTTATAATTATACTTTTTTCTGAGACTGCTGCTAGGACCTCAGGCATAAACTAATGGTCTACCTTAAGTTTACAAGGTAAATCTCTACATCTTACTTTTACACCTACTTTTTCTATCAGACAGAACAAAAAGACGACCCTAAACACCTAGTTGGTAGTACAGTGGTTGGGAGGTAAAAGGAAGTTACTAGGAACCTGGAGACTTGCCTAACTTTTCAGATTCACGAGGCGTCGAAATTAGCAGTAGGATTCTCATCTTTCAATTCGGCACGTGTTGAGAAGCTTCTAACTTCGTTCAAGAGAATGTGATTCTTATGTAATGTCTCTCTCTATTTAACACATAACGTGTTGAGTTCGCACATAAGAATCCCTGTACCAGAATCTGTAAAGAGCTGGTCGTAGGCAATGAGTACGAAAGAAAAGCCAAAGTTGGTATGTGTTTTTTATTAAATCAAAATAACCATAACTAGGAAAATATGTACAAAATCATAATAGTAAACTGAAGTACATTTTTTTATTAAAATATTGAATTACTCTTGAATTGACTCAGAAATTGTAATAATACACTTTTTTCAAATATTAAAGTACATATGATTTGTATAATGTGGATCAAAGTATATATACGTTAGTTTTAAAAACATTCTAAAGGTTATAATAACCTAATTCATACGACTTTTTGTATTCCCCAAATTGAGCTATGGAAATTGTTTTAACACAAGCTCTATTTGATTTTAACAAAAAGCTGTACTGCAATTTTACTAGTATAATATAAATAAATAAATCTGGTTATAACAGTTAAACATAAGGTGATGGATTTTTTATTTATATTACAGTGTTTCTCAATGTCATCACCACTGAATGTTTCACAATATTGCTAGAGGTGATTAAAAGCACGCTGGTTTATAACATCTTCCAGAAAAATCCCTGAATCTTATTTTTCTGAATTATGTTCCTAGTAATGTTCGCTTAAAATCTGTGCCTCGGCACAATGAGCACTTGGCGAAGTTAATTTTAATTTACAAATTAAATATCTGGATTCAATGTCAATCCAGCACAACTACTTGTAGATCATCCATTTTGGTTCTCAACTGCCTCCATGGTTTCCTAGCTCCTCTTCGTAGTTCTGATAATGTAACTTGCCTTCTAATTTTTCTGAAAAAAAATTTTTGTTTATTACAAAAAGGCATTAAAAAAAATGAGACTGAAGGAAGCTAGCAGACAAACCGTGCGGCGGTCCCTTAATATTTTGATATCGTTATTCACCAAAATATTTGGTTTAGGTGGACTTTAGTATCATGGAAGTTTAGAAATAAATAAAAATTAGTCTATTTATTAAAAAAAATTGGATTAATTCAATTTGAATTATTAGTTAAAACAATCTTACAGAAAGACAGGGATAAAACATATTTACAATGCGATTATAAATATAATTTTCACACCAAATATTCATTAGGGTTTTGATAATTGATTAAATAAAAAATTATGGCTGAACAATAATTTAAAATATATAATTTTGGTCTTTTTAAAGTCAGGTGTTTTGTCGTCAAACGACTATGAGAACAAAGAGACCAAAAAAACACATTAAGCACGAGATTACAAATATTATTTTTATACCAATAATTTACTACTAGCGATAATACAAATAGAAAATCATTAAATAGCAAGATATCTAAATCTAGTTTTGCTGTTTTGTGGAAAAATATCAAAAACCAATATTTAGCACAAAATTCCAGATATAATTTTTAGTACAACTGATTTAATACATTAGTATCATTCAAAAAAAAAAAAAAAAAAAAAAAAATCATTACATAGCAAGACCTCCAAATGCGTTTTTTAGGTCTTTAAAAATGAGCGATTCTGCGGATAAACCTTAATCAAAATGACGAAAATCAATATTTAGCAAGAAAGTCCAGGTATAATTTTTAGGACAAATGATTTAGTACGTAAGTATCATTCATAAACACGATAAATCATTAAATAGCAAGACCTCCAAATACGTTTTTTAGGTCTCTAAAAATGCGCGATTCCGCGGATAAATCTTACTTTATCAAAATGACAAAAACCAATATTTAGCACGAAAATCCAGGTATAATTTCTAGTACGAATGATTCGGTACGTTAGTATCATTCAAAAACACGATAAATAATTATATAGCAAGATCTCTAAATACGTTTTTTAGGTATTTAAAAATGCGCGGTTCCGCTGATAAAGATTATTCATTCAAAACACGAAAATCCAACATTTAGCACAAAATTCCAGATATAATTTTTAGTATGAATGACTCCATACATTAGTATAATTCAAAAAAGAAATCATTACATAGCAAGACCTCCAAATACGTTTTGTAGGTCTTTAAAAATGCGCGATTCCGCAGGTAAACCTTATTTTATCAAAATGACAAAAACTAATAATTAGCACGAAAATCCAGGTATAATTTTTAGTATGAATGATTCAATACATTATTATAGTTCAAAAAAATAATAAATCATTACATAGAAAGATCTGTAAATACGTTCTTTAGATCTTTTATTAAGCGCAGTTCTGTGGATAAACCTTACTTAATAAAAATGAGAAGAAAAAACAATATTTAGCACGAAAATTCACTTATAGTTTTTCAGTACATTAGTATCATTCAAAAACACGATAAATCATTACATAGCAAGATTTCTAAATATGTTTTTTAGGTACCTATGTAATGATTTATTATTTTTTAAACTATAATAATGCATTGAATAATTCATACTAAAAATTATACCTGAATTTTCGTGCTAAATATTGGTTTTTGTCATTTGGATAAAGTAAGGTTTATCCGCGAAATCGCGCATTTTTAGAGACTTAAAACACGTATTTATAGGTCTTGTTGTGTAATGATTTGTTTTGTTATTGAATGATACTAATGCACTGAATCATTTGATAGAGTAATGTTTTTCGCGCGGTTTTAAGGACATAAAGAACGTATTTAGAGGTCTTGCTATGTAATGTTTTCTTATTTTTTTGAATTATAATAATGTATTGAATCATTTATACTAAAAATTATAACTGGATTTTCATGCCAAGTTTTGGTTTTTGTAATTTTGATAAAGCAAGGTTTATCCGCGGAATCGCGAATTTTTAAGGACTTAAAAAACTTAGAAGTCTTGCTATATAATGATTTATTTTTTTGAATTATAATATTGTGTTGAATCATTCATACTAAAAATTATACCTTGATTATCATGCTTAATATTGGTTTTTGTCATTTGGATAAAGTAAGGTTTATCCGCGAAATCGCGCATTTTTAAAGTTCTAAAAACGTATTTAGAGGTCTTGCTATGTAATGATTTATTATTTTTTTGAATTATAATAATGTATTGAATCATTCATACTAAAAATTATATGTGGATTTTCGTGCTAAATATTGGTTTTTGTCATTTTGATAAAGTAAGGTTTAACCTCGAAATCGCGCATTTTTAAAGACCTCTAAAACGTATTTGAAGGTCTTGCTATTTAATAATTTATTTATTGAATTATAATAATGTATTAAATCATTCATACTAAAAATTATACCTGAATTTTTGTCCTGAGTATTGGTTTTTGTAATTTTGATAAAGCAAGGCTTATCCGCGGAATCGCGAATTTTTAAGGATCTAAAAAACGTAGTTAGAGGTCTTGGTATGTAATGATTTCTTATTTTTTTTTTGAATTATAATAATGTATTGAATTATTCATACTAAAAATTATATCTGGATTTTCGTGCCAAATATTGTTTTTTTTTTTTTTTTCATTTGGATAAAGTAAGGTTTATCCGCGGAATCGCACATTTTTAAAACCCTAAAAACGTATTTGCAGGTCTTTAGACTTGATTCTGTTTGAATCAAGAGCCTTTAAGGCTGCTTGGCTATCTGAGAGAATTAGGATGGTTTGTTTTTTGTACTTCCTTCTTAAATTCTCTCGTACACACAATTCGATTGCATGTATTTCAGCCTGAAATACAGTGGCATGTTTTCCCAGTGAGACGATGATGTCGCATTTGGGTTTAACTCCATGTACGCCAGAGCCTGTTCCCTTGTTAGTTTTAGATCCATCAGTATACCATACGAGACCACTAAGCAAGTATTTATCTGTCTCCTTATTTACCTCGTTCCAGTTACAGTTGACCTGGAAGAGTTTGTTAAAGGTTAGGAGGGGTGTCATGTGATCTGATCCCATATTTAATATAGAATCATTTACTTCATGTGTTATTCTGGTATGTTTTATACACGGGGGTTTAAATCATATGCAAAATATGCCAACCTGTTTACTGCGCAGACCACCCGGCGCTTGGGTGCTCTGAAGTCCGTTTTACAATAACCAAATTGTATTAAAATGTAAAGAACACTGAATAATTTAATAACATCTCGCTCAGTAACACAAAAAAGTATTATTTCAACAATTTTAATTTATATATTTAACCAAATTAAAAAATCATGCCTTCACCTAGTTATTTGTACAATGTTAACCTGTCTTTATGTCCGCTACATGCCTGCTGGCTCCCCCCCGTGTGACCGCTGCCACGGTGACGCGCGCGCTATCAACAAAAAGTAAACAAAAAAACAATATGGTTATGGTTGCCGCCGACGAAAACATGTGAGTGAGAGTATTTTTTATTAATTTTAGTTTTAGATATAAGTTATTTAGGATTATTTAAAATTAAGTAAAGGTATTTTGATGCTTTAACTAGAGAAAATACATAATTTCCAAATCAAAGAAAGAATGGTGCCACATTTTAAACATTTCATGTGAAACCAATCATGAATTATGAGATAATTTTGATACGAAATCGATTACAAACACAAATTGTTCAAGACTAAGACTGCTAAGATTTGCTTGCTTAGCACCCTCAAAACCAGATACACCAAAGATAATAATACTTAGTAATGTTGTTATCACACCTCCAGATTACCTGTGTTACATTCCAATAATATAGAAGATCAAAATTTCAAAAACGGTCAGTCATCAATTGAATTTGAATCTTACATAAGGAACAACGTTTCGATAATGGATTTTTAAATAAATTTTATAGAAAACAGAAAAGTAAAATTTGCAAATTAAAAAATGCCCTATAATTCCTAATGTGACGTTTAAACTGCAGTCAAAATTTCAGAATCAAAGATATTTCAACAATTTAATTCAAAACTATTATAATGTAGGTTTGTTCAGGTTTCTTTAAAACTCGATGCAAACTGTCCGAGAACCAGTGAAACAGTTTAATTCCAAATTATTTGTCGGATACAACTATTAAACTGTCCACTGGTCAACTAGTCTTCTGATAGTTCTCAATGTATTTTTGAAGAACCCGGACAGACCTAGTATGAGAGCTGTGGCAATATTTTAAGACCAAAAAGATAAACAAAATGATTGAAGTTACTGCATTTAATTTTTTTTCTGTTTCAGTTTATATGGATGGTTACCTTTTATCTTATTTCCCAAGATTCAACAAGAATATTTTTGTTATTTAGAAAATTAGTTTTTTCAAATCAAGTACATGAATTATTTGCAATTTCTGATATTCATTATTTTAACCGAAGATAGTTAACGTACACCTAAATAATAATGTGATATTTCTGATATTAGAGTAACTTTCTTAAAGATAATAAATATTTGGAGATAATTTATAATACTAGAATGTTTTTAAGTCAAACTCATTAGATAATCTTTAGAGAATAACATTTTCGTGAAATTAGGAGTATTTTTTATAGAAACTAGTAAACATTTGTAAAAATAGATTGTACTTTGTATCGAAATAAACTAATATATACAAATAATGATGGTAGGCCGGGTTATCCGGGTTTTACTCACCTGCAAATAATATGGCACTATCGGTTGTCTTTAAGTCAGCCCAGAGTGCCATAGCAAATAATAATAACTATTCTTGCCACTCACAAGCTCTTCTTGGGGTTTAACTCATGTAGGTTGAAGTGTAGGAAAATCTATTATTATTGTTGTATTACCATTAATTTAATTTATTTTTCTTGGGAATTTTTAGTAAATATAATTATATAAAACTTTGTATGGTATTTATTTTACCCCTCATAGTTATTTGTCATAGAATTTTACATTTTTATTGGCATTTCATAATTGTAACAAACAGCTAATAAAAAAGCAAAATTTTAAATATAATTAAGAGGAGAAAAATTTACTTTAGCAATTATCTTTTTCTAACCAATACGAAATAGAGCTATGGACATTTCTAGTTTATTTTTAATTTTTAGTGAATGAATAATATGTACATTCAGGTAAAAGTGAAATATTTGTTTCTCTGGAGCCACTATTCTGAAATCTGATTTATTTTCTCAAAAATTGAGAAAGTCTTTATGAAACAAAATTTTGCGATTTTTGCCATGAAAATTGATCAAATTTTAAAAAAGTTGCTCCAGAGGAACGAACGTCTACCTTCACTTACATGTTTTTCTTTCACTAAAAATGAAAAAAATTAACTGAAATTTTGGATGCCTATATTTCGTATTAGATGGAAAATAATTGTTAAAATAAATGCTCCTCTTAATGGATGTAAAATAAGCCCGCCAATTTTCAAATTAAATATGGTATTACGGGCAACTGCATTACCAACAGAGTAATGATTGAACAGCTAATATTGCAGGTAACTATATTACCGACAGAGTAGGATTAGTTGAACCACCCGCTTCCACAGGTCGCTGCAAGCAAACTTGTTGCCAAATTTCTATAAAGATACGGCAACTCTTAATAATCTTTCCTCCATGGTTTTATATGTCCCAGTGGGTTCCAGTTATTGGAGATTTCCAGTCTGTATGCACTCATTTTGGCCTCCCCCTTTATGATTAGGTGAAGGGGTGGGAGGTTTAGAATGATAGATGCTGTCGGTGTACTTTTCAGTGCTCCTGTAATACAAAGGCATGCCAATACCCTCTGTACTCCTGAGAGGGTATTGAGGGCTGTTTTCTGATTTACTTTTGGCCACCAAACAACCGCTCCATAAGTTATCATGGGTCTTGTTATTGCCAAATATAGCCATTGGACCATTTTTGGTTTTCATCCCCATGTTTTTCCAAATGCCCGTCTCCCTACAATTAGAGACATTTTACATTTGTTACATGAAATATCGTGTTAAATGTTTGTTTTTGTTGGTTTTATTGAGTAATATTTATCCGCGAAAACGCTCGACTTTAAAAACCTAAAAACTATATTTAGATGTATTGCTATGTAACGATTTTTTTATTTATTTTATATCTAGTACTGTATTAAATTATTGGTACAAAAATTGTACTTGTAATCTCGTGCTAAATGTGTGTTTTGGTACGAGGCTGGGCTGAGAAATAATCGGCCTCGGTAAGAGTTGGCGGCGCTAGAAACAAATGCAATTGTTTTTCATAAAAACTATCTTTCAAGTTACTTCTGTCAAATGTTCAACGAGCTGCGTCACTTAGTTTGTACTTGACAGTGATTGAAGACAAACAGACTTTGCATTTTTACAAAAATGAATAAAATCGAATATCGCGCAGTTATTAGATTCTTGTTTTTAAAAAAGAAAATGAACGATGATATCAAAATCGAACTGGATGATGTGTATGGGGACTCTGCACCTTCGTTATCAACAATAAAATATTGGACTGCCGAATTTAAACGCGGTCGTACGATAATTTTTGATGATGAGCGTCCAGGCCGTCCAAGAGAGGTCACCACACCAGAAGTGGTCGATAAAATCCATGATTTGGTAATTGACGATCGACGGGTAAGAATGTGTGAGATTGCTGAGGATGTGGGCATCTCACGTGAACGAGTGGAGAATATATTGCACGAATATTTGGGAATGACGAAGCTCTCTGCCAGATGGGTGCCGCGTTTGCTCAATGCCGACAACAAGCGAAACCATGTGACAACTTCAAAGGAGTGTTCGGCAATGTTTAACCACAATAAGGACTTTTTGCGGCGTTTTGTAACCGTGGATGGAACATGGATTCATCACAATATGCCAGAGAGAAAGGAACAGTCAAAGCAGCGGGTTTCTCAGGGCGAGTCAAAGCCAAAGAAAGCCAGGGTGGGTCTGTCTGCCAACAAGGTCATGGCCACAGTTTTTTGGGATGCGCACGGTATTATTCATATCGATTACCTTGAAAAGGGCAAAACCATCACCGGCGATTATTACTCAAAGCTGTTGGACCGATTCGACGACGAATTGAAGCAAAAACGACCGCATTTAGCGAAGAAGAAAGTGCTCTTCCACCAGGACAACGCACCGGCGTACAAATGTGCAGTCGCAATGGCAAAAGTGTATGAATTGGGTTACGAATTGGTTCCTCATCCGCCATACTCCCCAGATTTGGCACCCAGCGACTATTATCTGTTTCCAGACTTGAAAAAATGGCTCGGTGGTAAGAGATTTGAGTCGAATAGGGAGGTCATCGCTGCGACAAAGGCCTAGGACATCGAAAAATTGGAGAATCGTTGGACAAAGTGTATAGAGCTTAAAGGGGACTATGTTGAGAAATAAATAGAGTTTTGTCAAAAAAAATTGTGTTTTCTTGCCTAGGACGATTATTTTTCAGCCCAGTCTCATATCTTTGTTCTTACAGTCATTTGACGCCAAAACACTTGACTTTAAAAAGCCCAAAAAAAATATTTTAAATCATTGCTCGGCCATACTTTTTTGTTTAATCAATTAACAAAAAATCTAATATTTGGTATAAAAATTATATTTATAATCGCATTGTCAATGCGTTTGTTTCATTCCCGTCTTTCTGTAAAATTAGCTTGTTTTAACTAATAATTCAAATTGAATTAATCCTTCTTTTTTAATAAATTTTTATTTATTTCTAAACCTTTATGATACTAATGTCCACCTAAACCAAAGGTTTTGGCGAATAACAATATCAAAACATTAAGGGACCGCCGCGCTAAAGCTCTCAGACTCTACCTAGATTATTAATAACAAAATTATGTCTGGACAAATTGATATCAAAAACACTAAAAATTTAGATATACTAAAAATAGTCGATTATTTATCAAGGTCTCGTTATATTATCCTTGAGTATTGCTCTATCATATAGCATCTTAGTTATACCTGACACTTTCACTGCCAAAAGAAGTAGACTACTTTTATGTGGTATGCAAGTTAAATATGTTTTATATACCTTTTTCTAGGTATGTCTTGTTTTTTTATATGACCCAAATTAATTGCTTTTAGATATGTATATTTTAAATATATTAATGCATACTAATAATAACTATGTTTAAATAATATTTGATTTTATTTAGTCTGTATATTGTATTGCATACCATTTAGAATAATTCTGTAGTGTACCTACCTAAATAAATAAATTAAAACTCACATACCACCACTGACATTTATCTGAGGACACACATATTCGGTTTAGTTTTTGAAGCCCCTGATATCCAATCATTCCATAACATAAATAATTGTAAACTTACTTGTTAGCTTCAGTCGCCCTAAAGTAAACATCATCAGGTGCGTCCATCCAGCTAATGACCTGTTTTCTACCGGATCCTGTCCTAGTCATATGTGCGATTTTCGGTTTACCATTAATTTGGGCGATGTGACGTGGTAACGTTTGTGAGGGCATCATTTGTGCAGCCATAAGAGCTTGAAATTGTTCAGGTCGCGTTATTTGCATGGGTTCCTTTGTTAGTCTCTTCGTTGGAGGAGCACTCAGAGCACCTATCACAAATCATAACGAAATTAGAAAGTTTAAATCAACAAACATTTGTAGTTACATATTTAAAATAAAAAACGTAATTTTTCTGTAAGTGAAATTTTTAGTTTTAAGATAATTATTACTTAACATACATTATATATCTTTAGAATGGAAACAGTAAGCTAAGGTGTGCTTACTCTGATATTGAAAAAATAACATTATTTCTGAACTCTTGTAAGTCTTGTATACATCAACTTAAAAATAATATTCTTAATGTCAAGATAACATTTTAGTACAGCCAGAGACAACACGAGATGGTTAAGTCAATGAGAAAAATATGTCTGAAGATAGAGATGCTTTCTCTCTCTAAGCCACGAAAGGTGAAAGCAGGTGGCGCTGTAGGTAATTTAGTGAGAACCGTGGGAAATTTTAAATATATTTGTACATTAAACAGTGCGATACCAATTATTAAACAAAATAATTTTTATTTTTGATAAAACCCATTATTATTATTATAAAACTGTCATCCCATATTTCAACCTCTGTCCGTGGTAGTTACCCCCTTGAATATTTTATATAGCAATAGGTATAGCTCATTTAGAAGCGATTTTAATTCTCTATTCGACAGCAAAATAATTTTTACTTATTTCCTAGGAGTATATTTATTAGACTGGGCCAAAAAAATAAAACAATTTTTTTTCTTAGCGGAACTATGAAAATATTGTTCATGACGACAAAAAAAATTTCCTGAAAGTTTGAGCCCTTAATAATAATATTAAGAGGTGCATCATTGCAGTTATTGATTTTTCAACGGTTGTCGCGTTTTTGCATAAATTTCGGACTTGGTCAATTTTAAAAAAAAATTTCATCTCTTATCCTTGTAGGAAATTAAATTCCCCACAAAAAAGCTCTTAGTAAATTTTCGTAAGACGAGTCTATTCTTTGTAATCGAGCCTTAAACATTGGTATATATTTTCAATTTTTCACTTTGCATTTGGGATTTCCAAAATGAACTAAAATATTAGTATTTTTTTAAGACTAGTTATTATGTAAACCATTATTTAAGACATATTCTTACTTTGCCATACATATTTATCTTAAACTGTATTATGTTTATTAATGAAAATGCTAATTTATCTATGTTACAGATCCACAGAATTATAACATTAGACAGACATGACTTTATTTTATACTGTAAAACAGACTATCACAGACTCAACAACCACTATTTGACTATAAAACTATTCAATGGTAGCTTATTTGAGTAAACTAAAAGATCAGAAACATTTGCAACTAAGGCAATGAAATATCATATGAAAAAAGTTAAAATAATTGTAATTCTCAGAATGCTTGTTCCAACACGAGTCCAAATCCGTACATAATGTCATACTAATGAGCAATTCTAATTTAAGAATTCCAACAAACTTCAAACCGAGGCGACAGCTATATTTGACGTTAAAACACTATGGAGGCCTTGGTCATGTGCATAGAAAAATTGGTCCGTGAAATTTAGATTCGCTTCTTGGGTGGGTATTCTTTAGTGCAACAGTTACCGCTTGCAAGAGAGTGCGATCTCGATTATATTTTTGGGTTCTACTTTACCCAATTAAAATTATACATAGATATTACAGACAGTTAAATATTTGAGACTTCTAGCAATACAGCTGGTTGCAAAAACGTTCATTAAAATTTACAGATCTGATTCAACTTTAACATGTGATCTGTCTGAGTGAGATTAACTTCAAATTACTCACAGTCTAAAATGTCTGTCAAAGTTTATCAGACTCATAAATTTTAATGATCGTTCTTGCAACCTGGCTGATTGTAATTTATTTATTCGGAATACATGAGCACTAATAAGTAAATTTGCAGGTAATTGGTTGATCGAAACTATTGTTAACTTGCTTTCAGAAAATGTGTTGAAAAATATATTTTACAGAATGTTCAAAATAGGTGCATGAGAGAAAAATAACTTACCATCATCCCAATCCAAATCAGAATAGAAGCCAATAAAATGAGTAAGAAATTATTAATTTATCATTAAATTAACAATAAAACTGACATTAATTGTGAAAGTTAGCAAGAGTTAATTATTGTTATATAATCTCCATAAAGTTTAAAAAGCATTCTTTGATTAATAAAAGAAACCAATTTAATAGTTGAGATACTAATTTTGGAACCATTAATAAAAATAATACTATAATTTTTTTTATTTATATTAGAATACTTACTATCCATTCCATTCATCTCTTCATAAGCTCTCCTCTTTAACGAAGGAGACATATTGTTTAAAGGTATCTTTTCTGCCTCCGGTTTATTAGGAACTCTCTCATACATAAGACTGCCATCTGGGGCTTTAGGAGGTTTTGGAAAAGCTACGCGTTCTGGCTGAGGCAGCAGTTCCTTTGGCGTCAATATTAACCACTGGGCTGTTACTGGTCCAGGTCTTCCGAGTCTTGTAGCTATCGCTGTCACACTACCTCTATTTTTCTTTTTATATATAAGCAACTGCTTGAGCTCAGGTATCGATTTCCCTTCCTGGAATTAAAGAATAATTCAATGTAACGTTTGTTTAAACAAATTGTTTAGTTTATTTTTATTTAGACACTCATTTGTTTGTACTAATAACAACACTAATATTATGTCTTTTTTTACTAATACACTAAGTTGCATCGACAATATTTACTTGAACTGAACGATATCTGAACTAGAATTGAAATTAAACGACAAAACAGACGTCCTTCGACTACAAATAGCTGACTCGGCACCTCCGCCAGAACAACCAGCCTATTCTAGGATATACAGTTACTTTGACAAGAGATGTCATAGATGTTTTAGGGGTTTCTCTATTTCATAGAATATTCTTAGTAACGGGAAAAAGGCCATAAAAGGCCCAAATAAGACAGAAAGGGGCTTAACGGATAGAGCAGGACCTAACTGGTTAACATTGATTTAAAATTTTGTATCGATGTTATCGAATTTGTTTAATTTTGAACATTTTTCTTTGCAGTAAATTTAAAATTTTTAATATTGGAAACTACCAAATTGTTCCAAAATTATTTATCACAAAGTCTAAATAGAATTTGATAAACCCCTTTATTTTAAAATGTATGAAAAGTGTTCTAAACACACTTATCAAATAAAAACAATTCAGAGCACAATACATTACTAAGGGGTCTATTATGTAACAATTCCTTTATATTTTAACGGCCGTTAAAATATTGGCGGCCTTTAATAGTATATTACATTACGAGTGTGGAAAATCACTTTTCACACAAGTGATGTACAATATTTTTCCTACGACCACAAAATAATGTCATCAAAAAAAATGTAAAACCAAGGTTATTATTACTATAATAAGTAAAATGTATTTAAAAAAAATAATCAACAATAATCGTATTTATTTAATTTTCATATTTTCTAAACAAAAAAAAACTAAAAAAAAAAATAAAAAAAAAAACAAAGAAAAATTCTGATCCGCCAGGATTTGAACCATAGACTGAACGCGGTCGAAAAATGGCAAAGTTGATAAGTTCGATGTCCTAACCAACTGAGCTAATAGCCCTTGTGTCAATTGAATGATCTAATCGGTTATGTATTTAACCAGAATAAAGAGCAAACATTATTTTAAAATTATTTTAATAATAATTGTTAAATATAAATATCTAGGATCTAATTTACAACAATTTCAATAATTTAACAATCATATCGATTTTAGTAGGTATTAATATGGATATTACATAGATCAAAATAGAAATTAGCTGTTTGACATTTTGTGGCAACTACTGCGGAAAGTAACATATTCTCACTCGGGTGGAAAGTAAATTCTTATTCATACGCGTGTGATATAGGGCACTTTCCATAGGACTATATAGTGTGATATGTGTCACTTTCCTAAGTGGTCGTAGGAAAAAATATTTTCGTATTCGCTAATTTACTTCTGTCATTATTTAAACGGATTTCTTTAAGATAGTCCTCTAATGTATTTTAAAGAAATGCGTTTAAATAATGACAGAAGTAAATTAGCGAATACGAAAATATTTTTAAAGGCCCCCAATATTTTAACGGCCGTTAAAATATAAAGGAATTGTTACAGAATAGACCCCTAAGTACGTTGTCGTAAGAAAAAACACAGCAACTTGTCAAGAACAGTCACTGGATTGGAGATAAAATATGAGAAAAATAAAAGTAATGCGAGGCAGTAAAAAAAGAACAATGACAAAAAAATTAGTGATAGAACGATGTCACTTTTTTGCCGATACGATATATCGGCCGATACCCATATTTACGTGCCGCTATACCGATATATCGTATCGGCAAACATAACGCCATCTTTATACACGATCGAAGCAAAAACCGGGTAAGTTTCGTTTTATAATTCCATTGCGAGGAAACGTTTGCGATTGCGCGACTGAAGCAAAAACCAGGAAAGTCCCGTTTAATAATTTCGTTGCGAGGAAACGTTTGTGAATGGTAGTGAGTGACATTTTGGATTTCGGGAAAGCCCCTTACATTCTGTAGTGCTTTAAAACACGGCATTTTAAACTTGACTGTTAATTAGTGGAGATAAAATAAATAAAAATATTCTATTTAAATGGAGAGTTCAAATAGAATGGAAGCGGAAACGGGCGCTGGGAGAAAGGGAACGGTTGCAGATTATTTTGGACAGGGTAGTAGTAAAGAAGCAGAAAATAAAAAAAATTAAAAGTAATGAAAAAGGTAAAAGAAGCATCTTTTGGAGACATTTTGAGAAGATAAATCTGAAAAAACGAAAAAGCGACGTGTAATACCTGTAAAAGGACAATCTCTTTGCCGATATATCGGTAATTATCTTGCCGATACGATACCGATAATCGGCAACAACTGCCGATATACCGACATCAATATCGGTATCATTCTATCCCTAAAAAGCTTCACCATCCACCTCAGATCCCAGCGTAATATACCTATAATGAATAACTGCCTCCATATAATCAGCTTGTGCCGATTCTGTCAGGAAGAGGAGGAAACGACAGAACACGTATTGTGCTACTGGGAAGGTCTAGCAAGACTGAGATTCCTTACACTTGGAGAAGAAAAACCAAGGGCAACTAGCTACTAGATATACCAGAGAACTACTTCCCAGTCTATCGAGTCTACTACAAAAGACCGAATTAGACAAGGTACTCTAAACAACGATTAAAGGATATCCACAATAGATCTGCCCGCAGTCCTAATTAAATCTAATCTTATATAATCAGCTCAGTAGACCAGTATTCTGCAAGAGCTTAGAGAAATGGCGGCAGTGGTTCCACTCCTACAGCAGACCATGTACTTTTTTTTATTTGGAGGGTTTGTGGTTGTCATTTCTGTTGATATGGCGTCAACATTTCAATCACAGTGGTGTGAAGAGTGTCAATGATTATGGGAGTTTTTTCGGGTTTTCCTTATCTGTAAGTAAAATGACACCATCACATCTGTAAATTGCTTTGAAGAGCAATGGAAAATGTTAAGCTTTCAGGGGTTCACTTGTAAGAGGGTTAATTGTATGGAGAGTATTACTAAGTGACTAAGATGTAAAATTATAATCTCATGTGTTACTAAATAATAGTATCGACATTTTCCATCCAGAAAATAACTACACTTTTGACTAATACCACACCAGGCATTGGATTATAACGAAGAAAAACGGCAGAGATAGAATATTATTTGCAACACTCTAGCTTTGATTTTGCTTACTAAAGAGAATGTCATTCTTATAATCATAATACTTTTCCTAATTCACCCCGTTACAAGTGAATTTCAACCCCTGAAGCCTACTGATCTTGTGTGGAGACCTAAAGATGACTGATGGTACCATTTCATTTACAGGTGAGGAAAACCTTACCCACCATCATAAAGACGGTAACGCATGGCGATTTGTAATATGAGATGTCATATCAACATAAATTACATTTATGTTTATATGGCACACATCAAATCCTACAATGTACCATGCAATTTAATTAAAAATTTACATGGTCTGATGTAGGATTCGAAGCCTCTGAATCACAAACTTGCCTATAAATGAATATAAGTTCATGAGACCACAACACCACCAACCTGTTTGCATTCTTAGACCTGTAATTATTAGAATTCATCAGTAAGAAATAAGACATTCTTGCTTCCAATCTCCTATTGAAGCTGCAGAGGAGTAAAATTTACTTGTATATCTTGATCTTGGTTGGGGGAAGATAAAAAGTCGTAAAGTAGCGCCATCTACAATTAGTAAGAACAATGGAAGTCAGGCGGGCAATTTAGAGAAAGAAAAATAATTCCAAACTGAAATGGGACCAAGATGTAAAAAAATGAAATCAGGAAAATCTCTAATCAGTCAAAAAATAAGAGCTACACTTTTCCGCCGGAAAACAACTAGTCCTTGTAACTAATACCACAACAACAGAGATAAAAAATTATTTGTTTTCAGTATAGACATGCTGGGTCTGTTGTTTTATTCTATACGCTGTATTAGTGTAATGTAACTTTTGGGCCAAACAAAAACCATTCTGTTATTGATTTTGACATATTTATACATTTTGAGTTTTTAACCTTCTCACCAAACCATACAAATGGGGAGGTTACTACAATAACTTGAAAATTTGAATTTGAGATAACACCATTTTTACGTTTTCGGATCCTGGGTTTTCGGCGAAATTAAACTAATAAGAGTTAGTTTAATTTCGGTCCTAGGGACATCACATACTGTTTACTATAATTGTATATATTTTTCTAGAAATATAACTACCTTTATTTAGTTATTTTAAGTGAGTTTGATTACTGTGGCTGTGTTTGTACTAAGGCCTGGTAGTATTTGTTTTTGCTTATATACGAGGGTCCAGGGAATATTAAATAGTACAAGCAAGAGTTGTCTCATTTCGTTCCTAATGTTTGCTCCATTTAGGTTGGGCATAATGGCATATTTAACTTGATTATATTGAATCTATCTAAGTAATATTAACTAGTATTACTTTGGTATTAGGAAAAATTACTCAGAATTATCGAAGTAATGCCGTAATTCGCCAATACAAGTACGTTTTCTTGTAGAGGTAAAATTTCAAAACTACTAGCACAAATAACTTTTTTCTAAATTTCAGTTTAGTAACTTGGTTCAATATTCAATGAATTTCAATTATTATACTCTGTATTGATTGTCTTGAACTGCAACGTATCGTTTTAAGTAGTCAAGTCAAAAATATGCACAAAAATGCCTGTAAAGTTACCAGCCAAGTTTCAAAAAAGTATTTATATAGTATTATGTAATGAAAGATTAAAACTGTAAAACATCTTAAAACTTAAGAGATTTTTAGCTTACCATCTGAAGGCCGCATTCTTGTTTAACAGCTTGTATATTTATGGCAAAGAAAGGCGCCCTAGCTGCGTGCCTCGGCCTCATTATGTGTCGGCACAGCCTTCTTGAAATTCTAGTTATTGGCGTTGTGAACAGATAAAACGCTGTTCGTGTTTTCATGATTGGTCTAGGAGAGCCGGACCGGATCATGAGTCCGTGAGCAGTAGCGTAATGTCGTCCTAAGTGAGCCTTTAACTTAAATTCTTTACCACAACCACCTATATTACAACGATGAGGCCTATGAGACATGCCAGGAATCCTTTCTTCATCTATATCACTACCAGATTTCTTTTTTCCACCATTTTCGAAATCCCCGTCGGCAAATCTAGTCGGTATTTTTAGGCCTCCATATTTTTTCCAGTAGTGCCAACAAACTTGACATAAACGGCATTGCATGTGCGATGGACCCCAGGCATACCACTGGTTAGAGACAGTCACTAAAAATAAATAAATTTATTGTAAGTATATGTTTACGCGGTTATTATTTAGTTATAAATACTTCAATAAAAGAGTATTATTTTATATATGTGCTTCAATATCACAGATGAGAAACCTAGTAAAAGATCAAAGGAGTTTAAATTGAGAATTAGGTGCCTTGAAACTTCAAATGGGTATGGCAAGGATGTTGTCAATTTTTCTGGCTAAACAATATTGCCTCCTACGCGCTGTTTTAGTTGCCAGGGTTGGTATAAACAGTAAATAGTTTAATTCTTATGTTAGAAGAATTGTCTAAAAGTTGTTAGAAAAAAGAAAATAATAAAGAAGGTTAATGGAATTTAAAAGAAAAAGCACACGATTATTACTATTTATAAAATTGTATTATCGAATAAAAATGTATATCAAACAATATCTCTTGTAATTATTAAACAATTTGGAATTGAAATTAAGGTTTTTATATGATACTTAATGCCCCTAATCAACAAATCCAATCTCCCTCTCACACACACATAGTTGGATATTATGTAAAATAATAAGCTTACTATTTTTTTGACTGACTTCCAAAACCTCAACACAACATAATTACACAAATAGATAATTTTATTATTAATTTATTTAACGTCGGCCTATTTCTAACTACGAGATAAAGAGCGACGCTGGTGAGCATGCTACCCCCAAATAACAGAAATTTTTCCTTATCCCCTGGTGTTCCGACCAGAGGTAGAGTTCTTTAACGAGTAGAGATCTATGGAATTGGGACGGACGGCTTTACATCTCCTTCGAAAGATGGCACACCCCCTGCTATTCCTCGTACTCATTGATATAACGCCAGCCAGCTGTAGTATGCAAGCAGTTGTTTGGGCTTTATAGGTACACAGTACACCATAGATACAAACGGATTAACTCCAGTCGAAACACAAAAGGATCTTCGTGTAATCATATCTAAAGACTTAAAATGGGAAACCCACAGTCTCATATCTTATCAAAAGAATTTTTAAAGACCATTCTGAAGATATGATCCTCAAACTGTACACAATTCACATAAGACCAAATATAGATCATTTGGGATCCATACTTTGTTAAAGACTGAATTGCTGGAAAGATTACAAAGGAGATCACCAAAATACCACCAACCCTACAAAACAATGAGTATTGTGATCGGCTAACCAAACTACAACTTTCAAGTTTAAAGGATAGAAGAGCTAGAGGAGACGATAGAAACTTATAAGTTGACCAGCTGATATTACACCTTCCAGGCCAGTACATCAAGAACTTTGAGAGATTTCTCGAAAAAATTAGACAAAAAAAAATGTAATAAACTACAAAGAAAAAAATGTCATTACAAAGAGAACTGTATATCTGTGGAATGATCTCTATGAACATATGGTCTCAGCCCACAACATAAACCAGTTCAAGGCGAGAGTGAACAAAGAACTATAAGAAGGAAGAAATAATTTTATTCATTATAGTTTATATTATTGTTACCCATCACCCTAGAGTGTGTTGTAGTCGTCATAAGTAAAGGTGAGAGTAAAAGAAGAGAGGAAGGGAGACTATTCGAGAAATGTCATTCCATGTCAAGAAACATCTGGACGTTTCGGGAAGATTCCAGAGGGTTAAAGCGAGCTATATAAGTCGGTGATCCTGACGTAAGAAGTCAGTTTTATGATAGATGTTATATGTTAATGTTATCAGTTGTATAGTTGAATTATTGTAAAAGTTGACTTAAAATAAATTGAGATACCAAAAACAGTGTGACAGAATATTAAGTTTTAACTGTCATGTAGTAATTTAGGTCATTAACTAAAAGAGCAGCTTTATCAACTATGTTACTTGCCTGTTTTTAACAATAATAATGAATTAATTAATTAAAAAATAATAATAAATAATAATAATAACAAAAATACAAAGTTAATGAATACCTATAACCTCTATTTTTACAAGTCTACTGCCACTGTCATTGTCAGTGGAACACAAATTATGTCTATCACTAATATAGCATATTATGAAATGTTTATAAGTTGAGAAACCCTATTTGGTGGATACAAATTAATGCCACTCCATGGTATAAGGTTTATTTTGATTTTAAACTTTAATAATAGTTGTTTGGTAAAATATAAAAAAGGTATATTATAAAAAAAACAGTAATTTTCAAATTTGCTTGAACTTTTTTAATAATTAAATAAGAATTCCTTTGGATTTTCTACTTACCATTACAGGACTCGCAAGCTTTACCACCTAACGAAACGGCTGGATCTGAGCTGCCATTGTTACCATTAACGACACCTTTGTTATTATTTAAAGCAGCAGGATTTGGTTTATTACTAAAAAGACAGGTATTAAAAATGTAAATTAAGATACGTTAAAATAAAAATACGAACTCACTAGTTAGGAATGTAGACTTGTTTTAGTTTTGATTCCGCTTCTACAGCTTTAACTCTCTTCTGTTGTACGTATCTATCCGTCGTTTTCCACATGTAGTAATACTCTATTATGTTCTTTAGTGTTTTCCATGGAAGAAAGTCTTGGCGTATGTCGTTGAAATCCTGAAAATAATAAATAATTATTTTCAAACACTGCCAGCTAGTTAATTTAAGTAACATTTTGAACCAAGAAATTAAGAAACTAATTCTGCTAAAAATGTTATTAATTTTATAACATCCCCTTGGGGCATCACGGAATAAGAAGAATAGGTTCCAGGTATTTTCTCCCTGTCGTAAAAGGCAACTAAAAGAACAATCACAAAAGCCGTCGCTGCACCACATGGCAAATGCCTTCCAGCGTTGGACCCTTGGACATATATGGGACTGACTTTGAAATGAGTTGAAACGAATTTCAATGTGACCAAATTTTGACGATTGCCACGTGCGTATTTTCAACCTGCTTCAAAATAATCGTCAGCTCAGTGGAAGCACCTGGCGTTTGATGCAATCTAGTGGCTACATGAATTGTATAAATATTTACACATGACAATACAAATTACTACAATATTTTGGAAGTTGTACAGCTGTTATTTCCGAGATTATTTCTGAGTTCACTTTCATGTACTTACTCTACCCTACTTTTATTGAAAACTAATACCCACGATTATCCTGATCGTCGTATTTTTGTATACTGTTAAAGCATAACCTTAGACGAAGAGAGTAGATATTACCATGACAGCAGCAGTTTTATTACGTCCTTGTTGGTAGAAATTTAAATCATGTTGAACTGTCAAACGTTCCTCCCAAACTGTTTGAATCAAACATTTACTACACCGTGTAGCATCATGTGCCGCCACCTCAATGGGGCATAGATAGATATTTCGGTAAAGTTATAAACAGTGGGCTGATTGATAAGGCTAGAGGTGTATATCAGTAAACTATTTTATAATAGTATGCAGCGTTGACAAGCTAAGAGGACGCACAACGGGTCTAATGAGGTCTAGATGTGACTTTTTCACATTCAGATCTGAAGGCGGAATATACCGTAAATTTTAAGGAAATATAGTATAAATACTGGGATACAGTAACATTGATATTGTCTGCATGTATTAAGTGTGACGGTCTGAGATGAAGTTAGACAAGTCAATTATGTAAAGAAGAAATATGAATGGACCCAATATTGATCCCTGAGGAACACCTCGACCATGTGATTTACTTCCGTTAAGTAATCTTAGATTCTAATAGACATTTTACGAGAATTTATGTAGGAACTAATTCATTGCAAAAAGTTACCCCTAAAGCACTCAATTTGCCAATAATAATTGAAATATCAATGATGTCAGAAGCTTTAGATAGGCCAAAATAGAGTACACCAACTAACCTTTTTCTGTCCACCTGATTATGGACATAAATAAAAAAGGCAGTAGTAGCACTTTTTGTTGACCTATCAGGTAGAAACCCATGCTGTTGTTCTGTAATAATTTTAAATAAAAATCTTTTTTTATATGAACATTTTTCTAAATTTTTAAGAGAGCAGTCAAAGCTTGTCTGGAACTGCCTTGGAATACTAAATGATCTGGCAACCCACAACAAGGTAAAACTAGCGTGGGTACCAGAGCACAAAGGTATCCAAGGAAATGAAAAGGCAGATGAACTCGCCAAAGAGGGATCAAATCTACCATCCACAGGACCCGAACCTGTATTTGGGATAAGCAAAACCTCTGCTCAACAGGCAGTGAACAGGTGGATAACCACAAAACACCAAATTCACTGGCAACAGATAAGAGGGCACAGAATCAGTAAGCTTATGCTAAGGGGACCAAACCCATGCATGGCTACTGAGGCACTAAAACTCGCAAGGCCTCAGACATCCACCATTGTGTGATTACTAACAGGGCACTGCTTGCTGAAACACCTTCATGTGATGGGATTACACAATGATCCCACTACTTGTAGACTCTGCATGGAAGAGGAAGAAACCTCATACCATGTGATCTTCGAATGCAAAGCTCTTACTAGGCGACGTTTCATCCTTTTCAGCCTAGAACCAGAAAGAACGCCACAGGAACACTTGGTAGGGAATTTTTTAAAACCAACCATAAACACAGGACTATTCCAAAGATAGTACCTGAATACGGGGAAAGCAGGAGAATACAACAGACCCAAGAGACCAGTGTTCTGGGCCAAACCTAACCCTACCTGCTTATAACTGGCAAAAATAAAGATAATAAAAAAGACAGTAGGTTTCTCATAACAACTGCTGTCAAATTTCAGTAGGACCGCTGTCATTTATTTGTCAACTGGAACCGTGCTCGCGTGAATTACATAGAAAAAAAGCTTTGTTTCTACACCCACATGGATATTACTTTATTTACAAAAAGTATGCTATTGCGTTCAACTGAACGAATATATTTCATATCCATTCTAGGTAGTAAGAATACTGCAAAAAAATTAAATCCACTAATTACAGTTTATATTTTAGTCACCCGATTACTACGAGGGGTATTTTTAAGTTATAACCGTTTTGATAATTCGTCGTTGCAGCGCTGCGATCGGAAGTCCGCGCATGCGCGCTGTGTAACTGCATCTATTGGCAAGGCTGGGATGCCATTACGGCAACAATTGCCCTTGATTAAGTGTGTTAGAAAGCATTTAAAATGGCACTGCCGATCGAGAGTCCCGCCGACTGTGAAATTCGTTCTGTTATTCGTTTTCTGAATGCAAAAGGTGAGATACTTAAGGACAGTCATCAGATAACGATGTAATCGTAAAACGCCTGCTTTTTCTCACTGTTTGGTCAACTTTCTGCACCAAATTGTCAGTAATGATTGAGGTGGCACCCATTGCTTTCGTCATCATGCACGTTTGTGCGGCCATCTTTAAATGCTCGATTTATTCCATCGCTCATAATATTTTGTCGGTGAACTATACAGACCTCACGATGAATATCCATCGCTTTTAAGCCTTTTGCACTTAGAAAACGAATAACACAACTAACTTTAGAGTCGGCTGGATTGTCGATCAGCGGTGCCATTTTAAATGCTTGTTAACACACGTAATCACGGGCGATTGTTGCCGTAATAGCTTCTCAGCCTTGCCAATAGATACAGGTACACAAGGCGCATGTGAAGCATACCTACTACAGCGCTGCAACGACGGCTTATCAAAATGGTTCTAACTTATTATTTTTAAAATTTTAAATAAGTGACAAATCTTTTATAGTTATTGAGATTAAATATAAAAATGAGTTATTTTTGTGTAGAATCGGTTTTTTATTTCGTCTATAATTATAAATAATTCGTTAATTTTAATAAAACCATATGAAGTAAATTTAATCACGAGTATTAAAGCAAAAATGTTAAGTGGCTCGATGGTGATGAGATCAGGGCACTTGCTTATCATGCGAAAGACCTGGATTCAAATCTAGGATGGGGACAAATTAAATTTATCTTTTTTCTTTATTTTATTTTATAAATTAGTAAAAGTTATAAATTATTTTTAGATTAGTTGTTTGAGCTTAATAAAATAATTTTTAAAATTTATAGATTTTCGTCAGTCGGTCGTAGAAAAAATATACTGTACAACTAAAGTGGATTGTCCATTAACTATTATCCAAACTTCCGATCATGTATTAGGATAGATAGGCATTAATCATAGTAGTTGGTTTTAATGATTATATAGATGGGGAGACAGGAAAAATACAATAAACAGTTCCAGAACTGTGAAACAGTACAACGATCAATGCCGTATCTATGGAAGGGGTTATATATTGTTAATTACTTTAAGAGACTAGAATCTAAACAATCGATGTGAAAACGTTTAAATGAAGGAAAGTATGGATACATATAACTAATGTATAAATGAGATCAGGGGTATTTTTCAATCACATATTATTATCGCGCAAAAGCCAACCCTGTGCTTTGTTTACTCCTTGCCCGCGGTATGAAGTCTAACAGCGCTGGCAATATAGAGACAAACGCACCCTTCTCGAAACCGCCGGAATGATCGCGGTGCGCCGTATGAGTCATAGAAAGGCAGTTTTCGATCGTTCTGGAAAGCCTAGAGAATTCTAGTACAGAGTTGGCTTTATATAAATAGCGCAAGTTGTCGACGGACGGGCAGATTAAATTTAAGTGTTGGACAGAAAAGATAAATTGTAATAAATAAATTAGAATTGTGAGTTATAATAGTGCCTAAGTATTATATAAATTAATTAGTATGTCATAAATAAATTGTAAATAGTGTGTTTTAAATAAATAAACTATAAATAAATTAAACAAACGTTACATTATTTATATTAAAAATTTTGTAAGATAATACACAGGTAGGTAGTTCAAAAATACAAATTGAAATATTATTTCAACAATATAAATGTTGAAATATTTACAAGGTATTCCTAAATAACAGGACCCTACAGAAGGGGGTAATTCTTGGCTTATTTCATGACTAAAAATTCATATAAACATAGCTCCGTAAACGCTTCTTTACCTATCTACAGGGTGTTGAAATCTCAAGATTTTTTATTTTTTCATTACAGCTCCTGCAATTTTTGATATATTTAGCTCAAATTTGGAATCTAATTAGAGTAATACTTTTTAAAGGGTCTTGTCCCCTTTTCTTTCCGAGAACTTTTTTGCGGTGCGACGCAGATAGATTCTAAAATACATAAAATACAAAATTAATTTTGTTTTGTTTAGAAACGTCAATACTGGCATGACAATTAGAAACAGAGTTAAGAGGATATTGGCATTTAAAGATTGTTTTTGTTCTTTTGCCATTCTTTAAATTGCAAATTAAATAATTTTGATAGTTTGCCTGCGTCAATTTATAGTAAATATTATAGCGATTATTTTCTTATCTGTCAAAATAATCGAATTTTCTGATTTCAGCCAATAAGAGCTCGCTATCCTAACCAATCATTGAGTTTTGTACTGATTATTTTTTCATCTGTCAAATTAGTCAAATTTTGTGATTTCAGATAATAAGAGCTTGCGATCCTAGCCAATCATTGAATTTTACAATGATTAAACCGTTTCTTCGTTTTTGTTTTTTGATAAAACAATGTTTACCTTTTGAACTAACAACTATACATATTTTAAAAACTTTTGTTGAACATAAATACC